GGATCCAGGGAGATTTTCTGGATGTGCACATCTCTGCGCTTGCTCGCTTTCATCTATACGCCGCTGCACCAATCACCTTGCCGTTCTGCTTTTTCCTCGAAGCTCTCTTTATTTTTCTGTGTTGATATTCTTATCCTCTCTCTCATTCGCTTCATTCGCTTCGCATGTATGTGGAGATTTCTTCTTGTTGCAAATATCTCTTCATGTCTGTCTCCTCCCATTATTCGCTTTCACGTCACTGTCACAGGGTCGTCTGGCGGAGAAACACAATTCAGTTTCCAAGGATGAGCTCCTGCATATGGTTAGCGCCTTTCCCTGCCTTTTTGTCCAATTTTCTATCCGCGTTATTGGGTTTTAGAGAGCTGAATTTAGCCAGAAGTTGTCTTTGACTTTTGAGGTATGTTCGTCACGAAGGGTTGTTCCCTTATCTTATATTTTTTGTCTCCCTCGCTTTTCAACATCAGGTCAAATTTGGTGCCGATGAGATATTGAACGCGGCCGGCAAGGGCTTTACGGACGAAGACATCGACCTTATTCTTCGCAAAGGTACGGGTGCGATGGGAGTGAACGATGGAAGAGGACGGCTACAGGAGCTTGCACGGGGCAGGGAAGACGGAGGCGGGCGAGGGAGAGGGTGGAAATGGAGAAAGGAAGGATTTGGGGAATTTCGGTCCCGATCTCCCGGTTTTAGGGCGTGTTTGCTCCGGCTCCCCCGTTTTCCCATCCTGCTCTCCTTCGTTTTCGGTGTATAAATCCCGTCTTCTCTGTGTTCCTCCGCTTTCTCTCATTCAGGCGAGGCGAAAACCGAAGAGCAGACGGCCAAGTACCAACAGAACGTGCAGCATAATCTGGCCAAATTTACCCTGCTTGATGACACGGAAGAAAGGAATCTCTTTGAATTCGAGGGGAAGGACTACAGCAATAAGCGAAAAGACGGTGCGCCCTTCCTCTTCTTCCGACTCAGTCTTTTCGTGCTACCCTGGGTGGCTCCTATTCCTGTCCTGTAACGAGCCAAGTGTCCGCTACGTTCCCTCAACTCCATCCCTCCCGTTTTCCATCGTCCCCTCCCTCCCCCCCTTCTTCCTTCCCTCCCTGCTCCCTCTAAACCAGGGCTCGTCTTTGACATGGGACAACGCGAACGACGCCCCACCATGAACTACGACGTGGACTCCTACTACCGCTCAGCCATGAAGGTCCGGCCGGCCCTCTTCCCCTCCTCTCTTACCCCTCTTCTCCCCCTCGAATATCCCAGCTTCTCCCCCATCTTCGTGTCGGGCCACCCTTTTCGTGGGCCGTCCCTCCTTGTCCAGGGCATCTTCTTGGAGGAGACGAATCCGTCCATGTTCAACCCCGCGGTTCATATTTCATATAAGCATTCATCATCCTCGCCCTTTTGTCCCTTTCTGTCAGGGTGGAACCGGTGCCCGAGGCGACAAGGAGGGATCGACGAAGAGGCCGCGACGTCTGGTGCTTCCTGAGCACCAATTCTTCAATCGTCCTCGGTGAGAAGGCTGGAGGGAACGGAGGGAGGGAGGGCGGGCGAAGGAAGGGAACGAGGAAGCGAGATTCACTGATACTACTTCTTCCCTTTCTTTCTCCATTTATCTCTGCTCTAGATTGCAGCAACTTCACGAGAAGGAGCAAGCACTCGCTTTGAAACGGCAGGCACGATGGGCATTCATCAAAGAGCTGAGAGCCGGTCGAAAAGCGGCTGTCGCGCAGCTCGCGGCTGGTGAGGGAGGAGGGGAGGGAGGGGCGACTGGAAAAGACCACAGGCATAATCTTCCCTCCTTCGCTCCCCTGGCGCTACCACTCGCACCCGTCTTCTCGCCAAGGCCCCGGAACTCCCATTCTTTTCCTTCACAATCCCGCCCTCATGCAAGCCCTGCGTCATACCGCCAGCCTGACCGATGTATGTTGCCTTCTCTTTCCTCTTCTTCCAAACCCTAGGTGAAGCACCTGAGGACGTAGCCCGAGACCTGGAGGAAGAACTCAATGATGGTCGCTTCGACCTACCGCCCGAAGAGCAGGTGACATTTCCCCTCCTCCCTTCATTTTTCCTTCCCTTTCTATTTTATCATCCTCCAAGTATGCTTCTTGTGCTTGGTTCCCATGGCTGTCTTATCCTCCCCCAAAACCTTTATCGATGCTCTTCCTTCTTATCTCGCAGTCCCGTCTGTTTTTTTGGAAATAAAGAATTTCATTTCAGACTTCATTCCTGCCCGATTGTTTCACTACAATGGTATTTCGGCCTGCATTCATGACATCTTGCACACCTCTCACCCCTTCCTTTGCCATGTACTCTTCAAATTGGTCGTTGACAGGAGGAGCGAAAGGCTCTAATGGAGGAGGGCTTCAAGAACTGGAGCCGAAAAGACCTGCGGACCCTCGTCACCTCCATTGAGCGCTTTGGCCGCGCGGATAGGGTAGGCGCCCCTTCCCTCCCTCCCTCCCGCCCTCCCTCCTTTGTTCCCTCCCTCTGTCCCTCCATCCGATTTTTTGAGCCTTCTCCTCTACTCCTCTATGTTGCTTATCTTTTCTCGCATCGGCAAAATCGGAGTCCTTTGTCTATCCCGACTTTGATTGATACTCCTTTCCAAATCTTACCTTCTCCGTATCATACATCATATACCCAAGGCAAGCATCCTCCGCGAGACTGCCGCGGAGACAGGAAAAGATGAGAACGAAGTTACCGCCTATTATGACACGTTTACTGCCCGCATGAAGGTACAAAAGGGAGGCAAAGTTGAAGTGTGAGGAGGAGAGAGGTTGACGGAAATGAAGAAATACATCAGCAGCACAACGGTGCGAGGCTTTTTTTTTCCTATAGTTTCACCTCTGATATCTCCCCCCTTGTTCCCCACCCTTTCTCAGGAGTTGCCCAATTGGCAAGCCTTACAGGACAGGATCCGCCGAGGGGAAGCTCGCATTGCCCGGAACAAGCAGATCAAAGAGGCGCTCGAACGCAAGGTAGGACGGAGGGCAACAAATGAGGGAGGAACGGAGAGGCTGCCGGAGAAGGAAAATGATCGGCCACTCACAGTTACGAGAAAGATGTACGATAGGCCATCTAGGCTTAAGAATTTTCCTCCCCTCAAATTTCACGCCTTTTCGTCCCTTTAAATTCCTCTTTTCCTCATCCTCCTCCTAGGTGGCCGGGCATAAGAATCCTTTACAGACGCTGACGCTCAATTACCAGGGCGGCATTGTAAGTCGAGAGGGAGGGAGGGAGGAGGGAACGGATCCCACGTCACCGCATGTGTATGCTCTCTGGCAGGTCCGGCGGCGAGCCGGGAGAGAGACACATGGGAAGATTAGTTTGCATCTTTTCGCTTTCCATCATAACGGGCTGTCTCTTCTTTTCCGTATACGTTCGTCTCCGCAGGGTAAACAGCAGCAAGGCCGCCTTTGGACGGATGAAGAGGATATATTCCTCCTCATCCTCATGCATAAATTCGAATATGGCAACTGGGAGCGCATTCGCATGGAGATTCGGAAGGTACGGTGCTTCGCCGCCTCCCCCTTTCCTTCTCTGTTTGCCTCATTCTGATCTGAAGCGTTGGCTTTTCTTTCATCTCCACACGTTCCGCAGAGCGAGAAATTTTGTTTCGATTGGTTTTTCAAAAGTCGGTCTCCTCAAGAACTCAACAAGCGCGGCGACACCCTGATCAAGTTGATCGAGCGGGAATATGGAGAGGCGGAGGGTGGATCGGGAAGGAAGGTATACTTGGAGGGGATGTGGAGGGGAATAAAATAGGGTAAATCGAATGGGAGAAGGAGAGGAAGGATGGTCTTGCGTTGTCGATTTACAATATTTAATAGCATGGTGGAAAATTAAATAGTTGAACGTGCCTCTCATACTTCTTATTATCAACAAAATTTTCCATGATGCTTCAGTCCTATTCTAGTCAGAGGCGGAACAAGCGAAAGCGCGAGGAGGAAGGCGAGGCGGCAGGAGAGGACGAGGAAGATGAGGACGAGATGGAGATTGAGGACGATGAAATGGAAGATGAGGGAGAAGAAGACTACGGACAAGACGAGGAGAGCTTGGCCAGTGGTGTCGTGTCTGAATCGACGCAAAAATCAACGCGTTCAAAGGAAGGTAGTGGGATGCATAAAAAGAAATGGTCCTACTAGAACGGAAGGCAGGAATAACAAAAATAAAATGTTTTCAGAATCCACCCCAGGGTCGGGACGTGGACGGCGGACATCAGTCTTTCCTCGAGCCTAGGGAGAACGTGCAATGATTTGATACCACTTCTCCGGAAAATGAGACCAAAGCACCATTGCATTGCAAAATACGCGGCTTGGTTTTGGGACTGCCTTATGTACATGGCATGATCTGCCGCGCTCGCTTCTCCGAAAGTCAATTTTACCTGCACCGATTGACCTGTCCGATCAAAGCGGCAGATAAAATTGTCTGGGATTCCGGTGCGATCCTACGAGAAGAATCAAGAAAGCATACTTTGAAAACGTGATGGCAAAGCATTCAGTTGCCCCCATCTCATTGTCGCCTACTCAAACCTCCTGCCATTGCCATGCAATGCCCTACAAGCTGTAGACATCTTTAGGGAAAAAATACCATCGCCTTCCCCGCACGTTTAATAAGATTGTCAACCCAAAAAATCAGCCACATTCGATTTTTCTACGTCCTTCGTCTCGCGTGGCATTGGGAGATGTTTTTTCCTTTCTGACGGCTTGTGTGACCGAGAGCAATCAGACGCCGCCGCCGGGCTGCGGCTGGAAAGAGCTTGGAAGCCCCTCTTTCATGCAACCATCTCTCGTTGCATCTGTCTTTACAGCAGTGACTTCGAGGTTGCTAGACACCCAAAACCTGATTACATGTGAATTTGGCTGTGTACGAGATTGGAGAGGGTTGTTTTTTAGTATTAGACTGGTAAAGGATAGAGACTTCCGTCCAAAAAATGCATCATGTATTCCACTCCTGTGCTCATCCTGTCAAAACTTTGCTCCCACCAACAGTACATTCAAGAAAAGTCATGGCCGCATGGCGTGCTTCCATCTCCAAGCACGTTCGTGAGCTCCGTTTTCTCATAAGCGCTTCTGAGGAAAGCAGCGCCGCCGCGCGCTCTTACATCAGGCACAACTATGACGAGCTGAAAATGCTGAACCCCACTACCCCTTTCCTCGTACGCGATGGCTGGCCAGGAAAAGATCCTTACGTGGTTGCCACATATGACTGGGGAAAAGAAGTGATAAAAACCATGGGCGGCTTGGACGAGAAGGGCATCGATGCCTTGTTAAAAGGCTTAGTCGAGGATGGGAAAAGCCTTCCGAAATACACACATCCGCCGCTGAGGGGTACGCCGGACGCCATCGTGGACGCTTTGCCACGGGACGTATTCTACTGAGCAAAGAATGTTATTTTTGTGCGAGTCCCTGTGACAAGGAACCGGAAAGAGAAGGCCAGAAGTAGGAATGGAAAGGGGGCGAGACGCAGGTGTCGGAGTCGGGAGGCCGATGAAAGATAATGGCAAAACCAGAAAAACAACTCTCGGGGGGAAAATCGTTCCTTGCCATCGTAGCCCCCACGCATTGAAAAGATTTCAGTATTTCAGGCCCGGTGGGAGGGCCCCCGTAACTTCTCATCTCTCCCTCCCCACCCCCCGTATCGCTTCAACGCATTTCCCCGTCGTCCTAGGCAGGAATCTTTCTCTCACTTCCTCCGCCTTCTTCCACCCCCCATTTTCACGCCACCCCTGCCGTCCTCGTCCCCTTTCTTCTTCTCCGCTTCCACCCGGCTTGCCACATCCAGCATGGCCGCGTCCCTGGCTGCTCCGTTCCCTGAACCTTGAGCACCCACAAATTTGCCTCTCCCTTTCTTGCCACGCTTGTTGTACGAGCGTTGATTCTTGGCAATCCATCGCTCAGGGTCTGGTGGAGGGCCGGGACGACTGGCGTCGTATTTCCCCTCAGCCGTTAGTTTCGCCAAATAAACGGTTCGAGCTCGGGCCCGTTGCCGCCTCCGGACTTCGGCTTTTTTCGCTGCTTTGGCTTGCTCTTCCTCCTCTTTTTCCTTCTGGCCCCCAGGGGCCGCGCCGGGCGGCAGCGTCCGCCGTTCTCCTCCCCCCTGCCGTCGAGGCAGCCCGGCCTCCTCTAGAATGCTGGCGTCCACCTCCTCGTCCTCGTTCCCTCCTTCCCCTTCCACCGCCGGCAGCTCCGCCTCTGCGATTTTCCCTGCTTCTTCTCCGTCCACCCACGACATTGCCATGACCAAGTCTGCCAGCGTGCGGAGCCTCACGTCGCTGTCCAGCTCTCCCTTGAGCTTGTCCGAGTCCAAAAGCGCGCGCAAGGCCGTCGCGGCCCCTGCTTGATCCCCTTTGGCTCGGCGGAGGGCCGCAGTTCCCCGCAACAGCTTGGCAAGGAAGGGAGGAGGAAGAGAGGGCGGGAAGGAGGAGACGGCACGGTCGAATGTGGCCAGCACTTCCTCCTCCAAGCCGAGTTTGGCGTAAATGGAAGCCACGGTGGCGACCACAGCCGGGTATCCTTGCAGGGACGGTATGGATTCCAGCACTTGGGCGGCTTCGCGCAGTTTTCCCTGATAGACCAGGCACTGGGCCCAGGCCGTGCCCACTTGTTGCTCGGCGTCGACGCTGTCCTGCGACGGGGAGCCACGCGCCATGGCTTGCACGGTCTGGAACAGGGTTTGGAGGTCTCCCGCGGGGTCGGTCGCGGCCCTTTGCATCTTGATCGCGACCTCGACCAGGGCCACACGCCAGGTCCCCGGGGCCTGTCCTCCCCCCTTTGCCGTCGCCGAAGCTGCCTCCTTCTTGAGCGCGGCCACCGCCTTTTCCGCGTCGTCCAGCCTGCCAGAATGCACCAGCATCAGCGCCTCGTTCACTCGGAGCAAAATGCTCTGTCCGGGTATCATTTTGGGCCCGGCCTCCTCTAAGGCTGCCTGCAACTTGTTCAAACCGCCTTGCGCCTTGGTCTGGCCCCTACCGCCCTTCAAAGCTGCCGCGGTAATCATCGCAGAGGCGCGGACCACAGGGTCCGAGAGCTTGTTCGCTTTCTTTGTCAGCGTCGACACCATCTCCAGGCCCTCCCGGCGTCGTCCCTGGGAGGCCAAGACGTAAGCCAGCTCCTGTCGAATCCCGCTCCCTTCGTTCAGGATGTCCACAGGCGACATCTCCTCTTCCAACCCCAGTCGCTCGCAGACATTCAAAGCTTCCCGCAGACGCGCTTCAGCGGCACTCAGGTCGCCCGTGTCGACGAGGGCGGCACCGGAATTGAAAGCCAACTCGTAGGAGGTCTCACGCAGCTCTGCCTCCAGGGGAAAACGAGATAAAGCCTCCTGGCCGCGACGGGCTGCCACGAAGGCCGCGTACAGATTGGTCAGCAGCTCGACATCCTCCTCGTCTCCCGCCTTGCGTCCCTCCTCGACCAGAGCCGAGAACACCTCAATGGCCTCATCATATCGGCCTTCTTTGAATAAGACTTGGCCCCGCAAATGCCGAAAGGATATTTCATTCTGCTCGGGACTTCCGTCCAAGACAGCCAAGGCCTCAGAACCTCGTCCCAGTCTGTACAATGCATAGGCTCGTTCGAAATCCTGAGCTGGAAGTGCCGTGGTTAAGGCAAGAGCATAGTCCCCTGTGTGCAGGGCTGCTGCTGCCTTTGCTGCCCGGGCTTCCAGCTCGTCGGGCGCGCTTTTCAGAACTGCGTCAGCGGCAGACAGCACCTCTTCAAAAGCTTCCTCTTCCAGTGCATGGTAGAGCGTCGCGTAGAGATCTTGAAGCTCCGCCGACGGGGCCACAGGGGCTTGTGCCATGATGCGACTGGAGGGGGATGGTCGATGTGGAGGTGAGAGAAAGGTGTCAAGGCGATCAACGAGGCGCAGATCTGCGAAAGACGAGCCAGAGCTGAGAATCCCAACGAGCTTGCAGATCGCCTTTGTACATAACTTTGATGTGCATCGACAAGTACAGACACAGGAAGACTTCCATACGAACGAGGCTATGGTCGTCTTGCCTTGTAGAGGGAGGCGCGAACGTGGTCCGTGAAAATATGCCCTGTCTTCTACCATCAAGGATCTTTTACAATGATATTATGCCCACAGCATCTGCAGATTGGCGCAGCAGAGTCAAAGCCATTGACACCGACACAAGTCTGCTTTGACAGTGGCTTCCAAACCTATTTCTTGTTTTTTAAGGCCTGCACACCATCGTCAATACAACTGCACCAACCTTACATACGTACAAGCACGATATAAGCTACAAATACACACGTAAATGTAGCAACTAAAGGCTTGTATGGCTGCGCACTTGTACATAAAGACAAAGCGCTCGAGGCATTGCAAGACTTCCATGGTCCTCGCGCCTCCGGCCGTCAGCTGTCGCTTTTTTCCCCTTCGGCTTGCCTAAGACACCACTGACACTTAAAATTGCCTGAAAATGATTTCCTTTCCGAGTTACTTGACACAACAAGTAGAATAAATGTATCAACAAAGGCAATTCTAATGCTGCATTATCAGTTACAGCAGCTGACAAATATTTGTTTTGCATCGAAGAGGCTCACAAGAGGTAAGATCCCGACTCAGACAATTCCTTAGCCCCTGGCCTGATTCTGAAGACAATCAGCCATCCCATCATTTTCGAGTATTTAAGATTTTATTTTCAAGTTTTAAATGTACTGCAACTGCACCCTATACAATTTTCAGCTGATCATTTCAACTTGGCGTTCCTCACTTTCATTCGATCCGTCGGTGTGGGCCGTGTACATCTGCTCACCCTCCCGGTTACCTCCCTTCTTCCTATTTCTCCGGGCACCCGCCTGTGCTGCAACCCGTTCAAAATATTCTTCCACCTCTTCAAGAGACTTTCCTTTCGTTTCAGGAAAGAAGACATACACGTAGGCCCCAGTGCCCATCGTCATGCAGGCGTAGAAGAAGAAGAACCCCATGGGTGTCAGCGCCTAGGTGAGAGACATGAATTTAATAAATTAAAACTGGTGATACATACACAGGAAAGCTTGTTATACAATCGAATAACTGAAACCCATCTCTTCCGGGTGTCCTACCTGGACCAGGGGGAGCGTTGTACTCGCAACGATTCCAGCGATAAGACGGTTGGAGGACGTTGCCAATGACATGGCCTTGGCACGGATGCGCGTGCTGAATACCTCAGTGGTCCCTACCCACGTTAATGGACCAACTCCCAAGGAGAAAAAAGCGACATAGAGGCACATACCTACCACCATCAACCAGGCCAGACTCTCTCGTTCAAAGGCCAGGCCCATCACGATCAGGAAGACAAAGAGTCCTCCGATGGAGATGAAAAGCAAGGGCCGACGACCCATTTGGTCCACGTACAGGGCGGCTAAGATGGTGAAAAGCGTTTTGCTCGCCCCTACAAGGATGGTCATCCCAAAGGCCGCGTTCTTCGTGACAAAGCCGGCGTCTCTCATGAATTCTGGAGAGAAATATATCAAACTTTCACACCCGCTCAATTGCTGGCAAGCCGCAAGCCCAATCCCTGCCAAAAGCATCAGCCGCACGGGCGGAGTCGGACAAAAAATGGCGTGCCAACTGCTGTGTTTATCCGCGGCGAAATCAGCTTGTATATGATGTTCTATCTGAGCAACAACACCGTCCACATTGCTCCCTGGCATGTAAACTTTCCGCAATACTGCTACGGCTTCCTCCCGCCGACCCCGCATCAAAAGCCAGCGGGGAGATTCCGGCATGACCGTGAAGGAGAGGACGATGAGGATGGAGGGCATCACCATCCCTAAGCCCAGCATCAAGCGCCAATCCAGTCCAGGCCCCACATCTAGAAGTGCGTAGTCCGCGACAAAACCCAACATGATCCCAAAATTCAGCGCCACCTCCGAGAAGGACACCAGGTGCCCACGGTGGCTGGGAGGGGCGATTTCGCCAATGTAAAGTGCGTCAATGGCGAGCCCGAGGCCCACCCCAATACCAATGAGAAAACGGCCAAACATGGCGAGGGGAAAGGCCCGTGCTAGCACCTGCAAGGCAGGAAGGTCGATGGAAGTGAGAAAGGGGAGGGACAAAAGCAAGCTTGTCAGGGGGTTGAATGCGGGCAAACCATCGGAGGAATATTTCTTGAGCGTATACTGCAGGGACAAAGCTGTACCCGCCTCTCCGTCACACAGCCTGCTTTCAGCATGCAGTCGTGCACGCATGCTTCATGCGCACCCACCCGTCAATATTTAAAGATAAGAAATTCTCCTCACTCTCACCTGAATCAGGATGCCCGTAATGAAAATAACGCAGGATATCGAGAAAGTGCGGCGACGGCCAACCATGTCACAAATGTATCCCGCGTTCAAAGCCCCAAAAATGCAAAAGAAATTCATGGAACCTGCCGGGTAGTTGTCCATTCGTGAGAAAAAAATTTCAGAGGTGACAACACCGCATAAAAGGTAGCTTCTTCGCGTTTGAGGAAGGAAAAAAAACGAATGAGAATAACCGATCCCACGTTCCTCTTCCAGATAGGACCACACAATCCTCATAAGATGTTGAGCGGTCCGAACGTACCAACATAGAAGCTAAGGTCCCAGGATGACCACTCGAATTCTTCCTGCATCAAGAGTGCCGCGCCTCCGACAGAACCAACATCGTAGCCTAGATTGCAGCTATTTAAGCAGGCCATGGCCGCCACGAAGTAGGAATATTTGGAAGGAGGCGGATGAGTGAAGACATTGTCACTCAACGTCGATTCAATGCGTGATATTGATGATGAAAGACTGGAGCCTCGGGCGTCTTGTAGAGATGTCGGTGGAATTTCGGGGGACGAAGCCTCTCCGTCTGGTGGCACGTTGGCGGAGGGTTTTGTATCGGCAACATGTACAACAGTATCTCCTTCTGATGGGTTTACTGACGAACTATGCACGTATACAGCCACATTTTCACTCGTGCCTTGAGGCATCCCGGTGTTGGGGCCAACGAGGGGTGTTTTTTAACTTCACCAGCTCCTCAGAAAGCGTCTTTCAGCGGCTTGGGTTTCAGTTTAGTGGCTGGTGTCAAATGTGTGGTGACCCAAAAAACGTTCGTTAGAGAACCAAGTATTACGCGTTACTGATGTGTTGGTTAAAAACCAGGTAAGAGACATGACCTTCCTCACGAAATAACTATGGGTACGTCCCTCAAGAAATTTTTCTCGCAATGTTCGGTTGCAAGGATGTTGGTACTGTCGTGCTTCCAACGGCAGACCCATGGTCTTGCTGAAAGAGCTTGCCATGGGAGTTCTCCGGCATCCCATCTTCATTGCATCCGAAAACATAGCTTAAATTCTAAGGCATATGTGTACAACTTTTTGGGTAGTTTTCACGCACATGCGTGTCTTTGCGGGCTGGCGTATGTGGCAATGGTAAAAATTGCGCGAAGATCCCGTGCGGCACGTAACGTCACGCACATGTCCTTGCGAGCCTGGGGTGCATTTTGACGCTAGACTATCCCGACACATACAAGCAGTCCTATCAATTAATGGTATGCGTCCCAAATAAATCAACAAAATTGAGGGAAAATACATTAGTGAGCTCGTATAGTAGAAGTAGGTGGATGCCGCCTTGTCTTTCCTCCCCCCTGCCTCGCCCGTCGTCCCATGATTGGACCGTCCCTTTCTCGGAACCTGGACATGTAAGCATCAACGTGTACTGTAATCCAATTTGAACGGAGCTTCTTAGTTTCTGTGTAACATGCAGAGTGGCGTGCCATTTTTAGTATGCAAATCTTGTAAAGTAGAACAAGGTCGCTGGGTTTGTAACGGAGAGCACGCACGGTGACTGTGGCACCTTCATAAAACCGCTGTTTGTTTAATTACTTTGCCGTAAATCCACCTTTCCGTATCTGTGACTATTCCAAGAGTTCACTTTACTCTCCTGGTCGAAGTCGTCATTATCAAAGGGCTATTTGCTGCCATGTTTCTGTCTTTCACCAAACCATGCAACAACTGCGACCTGTCTGTTTTTGTACTCAGCGCCGCGTACCGAATGCCTCAAGAGTCGGCAGCCACATAGTCCTTTGACAACAACCACGCGACGACATCATCGGACCATTGCGGAGAAAGCGCCGGATTGTGGGCGGCCCCGCGCATCCACCAAAACTCTACCTGGCTCCCGCCCTTACAGACCCATCCTGTCACTTCCGTTTCCCTTCCCTCCAGCTTGCAATTGTGGTCTCTCCATTGATCATAGCCCTCGTTATCGTCGAAAGGTCTCGAGGGGTCACAGTCATAGTCCCTGCTCGTCTCCAAATGAGGGGCGGCGGGGCAACGATCCACGGTTGTCCAGTTCCCTACGACACTTGCACACAACTCCGCCTTCACAATCACGTCCTCAGAGGCGCATACTTCCAACACAGAGATGGGGTGGGAGGGTGCGCACACACTGGGGATTTCGCCCGGGGTGACGCTGGCGATGGCCGCGAAGAGTTCCCCGTGCTCACAGGCCAAGATCTGCGTCATGGCCCCGCCGTTCGAGTGCCCCAGCATGTAGACCCGACGAGGGTCCACGTCGAGAGTGCGGATGGCCTCTTTCACCAAACTCGTCAGGTACGTCACGTCGTCGGGGCCCTGATGATCGAAATCGCAACAGCGAATCCCGTTCCAGAAATGCTTGCCTTCGCTGTTCACGGTCCCATTCGGCAAGAGAGCCAGAAAGCCACCATGTTGGTTGATTCGCGCGCTGAGCCCCAAAAAATGGTCGTGATAGGAGGCATCAGACCCGTAGCCGTGAAGCATCATGATCAAGGGCCAAAGTTTCGCTCCTGCTTGGTCCTCACTTCCATCTTCCGATTGATCGGCGGGATAGTTATCGGGTAGAACGACGCGAGCCGGTCTCTCCGACTCCTCCGCCAATGTTATGTACCTTGGGACGAGCCTTACGTGCTCTATCGTAGGCTCACTGTTTTCTGTCGTCACTTTGTACACTTCCTCCGTTGTCTGAGAGGCTGCTGCACCACGCCCACCTGCAGGATTGTAGTGCTCATTCACAGTATTCTTGATTTCCCCCTCTGATCCTACATCATGCTCTTTTGCCGCGAAAGGCGCTTCAAGCTCACCCATGCGGACCTTTGCGTCCGGAATTAGACTGAACGCCTCCAAGGCACGACGCAACCGGTGAGGTGGGGGAGATGTAGGCGTGCTTGATGTGCAAGCCACAAGAAATCCCGCAAGAAAACTGCCGGCAATCAGAACGTACAAACGACCCATGACTCTGAAAGGGAAGAGAGGACGAAGCCAGTGAAGGAGGGAGCCAGAATTATTTCGTTGACAGACAATCAAATGGAAGGGAAACTGTAAAGACAATTGGCGGTATCCTGTATTCATTATGTTTTATGGGGAAAAGATGCTTCGACAGTGGCCTCGATATCAAAGGTCCAAGACGTTTATGTAATGAATGTACTAGGACGGGGGGGTAGGGCGTAATATGGGCCAACGTAAACTAGTAAGAAAAAAAAGGTCAAAGCACTCAAAAGACAGTTGAAGTTTTCAGGTACCACGCTGTTCATTCCATGCCTGCAAAATAACGTGTATGCCATCACAACCACGCTTGGTACTGACTATTGGGAGGAAGGAGGAAGACCCATGGCGGGTTGATGCGCTTTCCTTCAAGCCGGCTTAGACCACTGGAGTCAGAGGAGAGTCACGCGCACGCCAGCCACCTTGTCCATTTACTTCCTTGGCCATCCTAACTAACGCCAGGACGACTGTGACGGGCACATTTCAATTGATATGCCCCGATCCGAGTTTGTTGGCGTTAATTTGTCGTAAGGCTGCCCGGTAATGGTGGTACGAGTGAACGCGTCCTCCACTCAAGCCGACCTGGCCGTCACGATACGATGCTTGCGGTTTTCAGGCCTTCAATTTCAACAAGTGCAACCCTTTTCTGGTGTCGAAAATCCACACAATAGGTTACAGGACATTATTCCTAGGCCGTGGAAGGGGTATAAGAGGAGATTGTGGGCCTGCTTCCCTGATCTTTGGGTCCTAAATACCTTCCTGGTGCTCCTCCCTTGCCCTGCCCCTTGGTGCATTGGTTTTCCAGTCCCCTACCTCACAAAGGTAAGACCAAGCACTCTCAAAAAATCATTTCTGCCTTTCTTTTAAAAATTGCAACCCGTGTACTTATACCAGGAGGTCCGTGGTGCGAGTGTCGGGTTTTTTGTTCTTTTCTTTCTTGGAACTCTTTCAAGTCCGTGAGTCCTTTTAATCCTCCTGCCAGGATTAGGGATAGGGCTAGTACCCCTCAAAACCCCGCTTTCGCCGTGACCTACCATCCTCATACGTCCTCCGCACTCATTACAACTATGAGCTTCGTTTTGTATCCCACAATTGATTCCTCTTCGTTTATCTCCAACATAGCCGACATCACTCCAGGATGTGTCGTCTCACAGCGTACATTGGCACGCCCATCGTAGCTGCCGATCTCGTGACTCGCCCCAACCACTCCATCATCACGCAATCTTTCGCCGCACGCGAGCGCCTGTGTGAGACGCACTACACACCGCCCTGCATCAACGGGGATGGCTTCGGGATCGGGTGGTACTCCTCTGACATGTCGGAAGACCCCGAGCCTTGCATCTACCGCAGTACCCGACCGGCGTGGAACGACGAAAATTTGATGCAACTTTCAGAAAAAATACGTTCTCATCTCCTGTTCGCCCACGTGCGGGCCGCGACCCCTGGCTCGGTGGTAGCCGAGCGCCTCTGTCACCCTTTCCGGTGCGGACGCTACCTGTTCATGCACAACGGCAATGTGGGTGGCTTCGACCGTGTCCGTCGACGGCTGATGGATCGACTCAACGACGCCTGCTTCGAATTCGCGGTGGCGAACGGGGCGAGCGACACAGTCGTGTGTTTTGCCCTGTTTTTGAACGCCCTGCCCGACCACATGGCCGTGGTCTCCCCTGACGTGCTCCGGCAGAACATGGAGGGCGTCGTGGCCCTGATCGTTCGCACCTGCCAAGAATGCGGGGTGGAGGAAGCTTCCTTGTTGAACTTTGTCATCTCGGACGGCCTCATGCTCCTGGCCACCCGTTTTGTCCACGACCCGAAATCCCCCGACTCCTCGCCAGCCTCGCTCTATTTCGGCGCGGGCACGGCGTACGAACGCAAGACGACCACCACGGCTGGCCCGGGGGGAGCAGTGGTGGCCGGGACGGGAGGAGAGTACGGCATGACCCACACTGACCGGCGGATCAAAGTCGTGATCGCCACCTCGGAGCCTCTCTCGGACAACCACACGGACTGGGTGGTGGTCCCGCCCAACAACATGCTCATCGTCACGCCCGACCTCCACCTGCTTCTGGCCCCCCTGGGGGCCTCGGACGCGATGGGCTTTGCATTGGAGAACATCATGTCGATGGAACGACGGCTTCTGCCGATCGAACTCCAGGATACGCTGGGCCCGGTGGCATCTCGAGCGGTCTTGGGGAGGGAAGGAGGCGAGCCCAGGGTGGAAACGGCGCGCCCTGCGTCCTTGTCCCCGCGCAAAAGGCTGGAACCGGGGGAGGAAGGGGGGGAGGAAGGGGGGGAGGAAGGGGTGGGGATCTTCCAGCGGGCCCGGCACATGATCTTGGGCCACAGTGAGTCCGCCTTGGCATTAGCCGTGTCAGGCAACCTGTTGTTCAGCGGGTCCTTGGACGGGTGCATCCGGGTATGGAACATTGAGACTTTCTCCCTCGACGCGGTGGTGCCCTGCGCGGATGAGGGCCATGCGGTCTTGGCCTTGGTGGTGCACGGGCAGGTTTTGTACACGACGAGTAGCGACAACAAATTGCGGGCCTGGGGCTTGGCGGGGAGGGGGGGGGGAGGAGGCAGGGGGAGGAGGGAGGGAACGGGGTCGGGTCGGGGGGGGGCTGCATCCTCTTGTTGGGCGTGGTGTTTATCGAGGGCATGGGCCACCCCATTTCATTGGCGGTGGCCGCCGGGACGCGAGCGGACGGGGAGGGCGGGGAGGAAGACGGTGGCGAGGTCATATACCTAGGATTTCAAGACACGTCAGTCAGGCGCTTGCAAGGGTCCGCGGTTCGATTTCCCCCTACGGTCACGCCGACCCTACCTCTCTCCCTCCCCGCTGCCCCCCTTCCTCCACCCCTCCTTCTCTCACCTTCGAATCCGCCTTTTCCCCGACTGCCGTCTCCCTTTCCTACCACCCCGAACGCCTTGGGATGAACCATTTCGAGTCGCACCATTGCGGGCCCGTCACGGCCCTGACCGTCTACCCTCCCTACGTGGTCTCCGGCGCGGGCGATGGCTTCGTCAAGGTCTGGAGCCCGGCTTCCCGCTCCTGCGTCCGGACCTTGCAGGGCCACCACGGCTCCGTCTTGACCCTGCTGGCGGGGAGGGAGGAGGGGGTGGTGATCAGCGGTTCGAGGGACGGGACGATTAAAGTGTGGGACATGGAGTCCTTCTCCTGCCGCCGCACCCTCCGAGGGCACAACGACGACGTGTTGAGCCTGGCAATCTGGGAGGGCTTCCTGTTCTCTGGCGCCGCGGACGGGGGCATCCTCGTCTGGCGGGTGGACAGCCTGACGTTTTACCAAGCGTTTCAGCAGGTGGAGCAGGGGGTTCAGAGTTTAGTGGCCACTCAGGAAGGGCAACGTTTGCTCTTTTCGGGCCTGCAAGGGGGCACGGTGCTTGCTTGGGACATGCCGCAGGAGGCTTCGAAGAACGGTGGGAAGGGTGTCCGGAAGGAGGGAGGGAGGGATGGAGAGCGGCGGGGGGATGGGGAGGATGAGGGAGTGGGGGGCCCTGAATTGGTTCGCATGGAGGAGTGCCTGAGCGAATTTGTCAGTTACCAAAGCGTGTCAGTGTCTGAAGAAGACTTCCACAAGGAGGAATGCTGGCGGTGTGCGAAATTTTTGACCTCGCTGTTGGAACGTTTGGGGGCCAGCGTGAAGATGGTTTCCTTGGTGGAGGGGAAAAGCCCTGTCGTTCTTGCGCGGTTTGGGAACCAACCAGATAAACCCACAGTCACGTTGTACGGGCATTACGACGTGGTACCAGCTTCGGAGAGGACCTGGAAGACGGTGCGGAATGGGGGGGGGGGAGGGGGAGGGGGGCCCAAGGAGAAATGGATGAGCATGAGGTGACTTGAACGCCTCTTCCTGCCATGACTCTTTTCTTATTATTGGTCGTTATTACCCAGGATCCTTTCGTCATGATGGCCTTGAACGGGTACCTCTATGGACGCGGGGTCACGGACAACAAAGGGCCCATCATGGCGATGATCTTCGCGCTGAAGGAGATGAAGGAGCAGGGAATCTTAAAAGGTAGGTCGCGGCCGGCAAGGAGGGAGAAGGGGCGTCGACAATAATATGCTCTTGATTATGGTCAGGACGATGAGAGGGGCAGGTCTGGCGGTTTGTGGGCAATGTGTGGACCGCTTTTTGATCGTGTCCTTGCGCCGAGCATTTGCCGAGGCGGTGGATCTGCTTGTGACGGGCATCTGCCGACAAGTCTCTGGGGCCCATCCCTTGTCCACACCACCCACGACTGGCATCGCATTTTTGTTGTCTCTTCCATTACCAGATATGAATGCAGTTCTTTTGCTGGAGGGGGAAGAAGAGACGTCTTCGGAGGGGTTTCGTGAAGCGGTCCTACAAAATTTGCATTGGTTTAGGGGCACGGGCCTTATCTTGCAAGCAAATAGTACCTGGGTAGGAAGAGGGGGGAAACGGGAGGAGGGAGGGGTTGCACGAATCCCTTTGCTTTATTTTGGCCCACCTTACAAAGGACGGGAGGAAAGTGAAGGGGAAAGAGGGGTGATAAGGGGCAGGGTATGGCACGCCTGATGCAATATCGCAATGACATGTACCAACAGATCGCGGACGATCGTCCTTGCCTGACGTATGGGATGCGAGGCACAATCCATCTGGAGGTGCGAGTGCACGGACCTAAAAGGTAAAGGGGGGAGGAGGGAGAGGGCACGGAGGAAAGTGAAAAATGGAGGGAGAAGAGAAAAAAAAGAGGAGAATAATCGATAGATAGGAAGGGTCCAAAATGCTAACATGTGATAAACGGGTTTCACTTTCATCTCTGCAGGAACTTGCACAGTGGCATCGATGGCGGGGCAGTTGTGGAGCCTTTAAACGATTTAGGTAGGCGATTTGAACCACGGCCAATCTTGTCTTTCCTTCATTCTAGTCCCCCCGATTTTCTTTCTCTCATGGCACGTCACGTTTTCCTGCTACACCAACCTTTTTTGGTGTATTTCTCGGTATATGAAGAGTATTCTCATCCCTTTCTGGATTATTTTTGGTGTCCTCTCTATGCTGGCATTTTGTGGAAATTATTGTGCACTCATGTTCTCGACGAACCAATCCTAGTGGGTATTCTAGCGACATTGGTGGACGCGCGCGGAATGGTCCTGGTGCCAGATTTTTATGCCGAAGTGGAGGTAGGTTTCAGGGAGAGAGTATTTGGAAGTCTGTTTGAGCGTCGGCTGATGACGACATGGTTGGAACGCTAAAGAGATGCGGAAAGGATTGAACCTTATTCCTCTCATGGCTGTGTTGTCGTAAAATACATCTTGGGGTCTTTGGGCTTCCTCTTTTGCGCTCGACAGGAGGTGTCGCAAGAAGAACTCGAGCTCTTCGACGCGATGAATTTGAACATTGACGCATATAAAGCCTCCTTGGGTAAGCAAGCAAGAGGGAGGAAAGGGATGAGGGGAGTCAAGAGGGGTGGGAAGGCTCCGCTAGAGGAGTTTTGCTGTCAGTCGGTAGGAGGCCAAGGGCATTGACGGAGGGACGAAGCATTTCACAAGGAAGGCTGTTTTATTCAGGGCAATCAATCATCTTCCCCCCTCTTCTCTCTCCCTCAATTTCGTTCCAGGCGTCAAGGGGCTAACCTGCAATTCGGGCAGGGAGGTCCTCGCCGGGCGATGGCGGCAGCCCACCCTCAGCATCAACCAAGTGGCCTCCTCCAATCCCACAGACTCCTACTCCATCCTCCCTAAGGCAGCCATGGCCAAAATCAGTGTGAGGACCGTGCCCCGCCAAAATCCTTCCCGACTAGTGGACCTCATCCGGGCGCATTTAAAGCACGAGTTTGGGAAACGTCGGAGCCCCAACGACCTTTTCGTGGAGGTGAAGAAAATTGGGGACTGGTGGTACGGCGACCGAGGGGCGCATGCGTTCGAAATGGCGGAGAAGGCAATTGAGGAAGTCTGGCATCAGCCTCCCCTTTACGTCAGAGAGGGCGGCACCATGCCCATTACAGCCTTCTTGGAGGACCTGTTGAAAGCGCCGGCATTGCACCTGCCTTTGGGTCAATCCACAGACAATGCACACCTGCCTAATGAGCGGATCCGCTATTTGAATTTGACAAACGGGAAGGAGATCATCAAGAGCATTCTGCGGCAGGTCGGGGAGTCCGGCCGAGCGCGAGTGGGAAATGGAGGGTCCTCGGTCCTCAAGGAAGGTCAAGTTCAAGGGAACGGGCATGGAGAAGCGCATAGCTCCCTCCACACGGAGAAAATGGGAGAGGAGCCGATGGCCTTGCCCGTCCCACAGGCCCGTCGGGCGGTCTCTGTTCCCCTTTCTCTCCTTCCTGCTTCCGCCTCGGGTACTCACGCGCATCTGACCCCTCTGCAAACCGAGCCTTTGGTGACCCGCCCTACCATCGCTAGGAGTGGTACGCCCACCCCGCCCTCGTCCTGCGCCTCAGCTTCATGTCATGCCCACAGCAATGCAGGGACAGGGGGGGGGGCAGGAGGAAGCGGGGGGAGGATGGGGGGGTTGAGAAGCCAGCCGGCGTCGCCTACCGTCACCACGATGGGGCAAGGGAATGGAGGAAACACCCCGAATGCGGGGAATGGAAGCAAAAAAGGATGGATGTTGTAAGGTCATGATTGTCAGCTGTGTCCTTGAATGAGAAGAAAGGGGGCCTTGACGGAAGAGAGCGCGACCGCATCAGGACGAAGAGGTTGCCACGCGGCAGGGTTTTTGAATCAAGGGTAGAAAACTCTCACTCAGAGTGTCTGAGAGTCAGGTAACATGTAATTTGTAGCTTCTGACGTTGAAATCAAATTTCTAAGTGACGTGTTGCATTAAAGCGATTTCCGAAGTCGTCCTGGACAACTGTGTACATGTAACGGAATATATATCAATCTCTACCAGCAGTCATGACACCAGCCTTAAATCAAATAAAGAATAAAAGGGCCATAGTCTGGTGCAATTTGCTTACGAGGAAAGGGGCATGGAAAAGAACTCCTGCGGGATGTGTCGACAAGACGGCTGTGCCGCTAGTACGGCTTTCCACACCTGCAGAACATATCATTCAAATTTGTAAGGTACACGCAGGTTTGACAAACTCATTAAATTGTCGTAAGAGCCTAAGCTAATCATCGCGCTGGAATTTGTTCCTTTCCTTTGTCTTCGAATGTTGACCCCACACACAGAGACAACGCGTTATAATCAAAACAAAAAGATCGCGATCATCATCATTGTCTGAGTCACCATACCGGTGCATCATCGAAGGCACCCAACTACGCAAGTAAGCCGGCTGCACGCTCACATATACGCCAAGAAGTCGCTTCCCTATCAAATCCAGACACCCAACGTGGCCCTTTCCTTCTCCCTCGTCGGCACAAAACAAAGTTATGGTCGGTACATCCTCAGACTGCAAAAAAGATATCCATGATCGACAGGCGCCACAGGGCTTCGCAACCCTAGGCGCTACCTTCCAAGGCATATTGGAGGATTGCTGCATTAGCATTTCCTCCCGTCTTTGTCCCACATCCTTGCTATAGAAACTGCCTTCTAAATTCTACCATTATCTCACTTTCTAGTCCACGCAAGCGCGGCTTTCTTGCCCCGTTCGGCCCCGCCCTGAACGTTGGCTACCTCCGATCTGTTTGCTTACTATGTACACCCTACCCAGGCAACATTCCTTCACTCACTACACATTCCCCTGCTACCGCAACGCTTCTTGTGCCTTAGTCAACAGCTCCCTCTCCCTAGTCTCGACCACTGCGGCCACGGCACTCAATCCCTTCCCTGCTCCCAGTCCCTGAAGGACGCTCTTGTTTTGCTCGTTCCCTTCCGCAAGTGCCACCACCCCCGCCAGGGCGCTGAGGGTGACCGCTCCCCTCCCTTTCCCTTCCTGTAGTCCTCCCACTACCGCCCCGCAAGCACGAGGCCAGGAAGTCTCCAAGTCCCTCTGGGGGAGGGAAGCTACCAAGTCCAAGCACAAGCGTTTCGCGTGCATTTCCGCGGTGTCTATAAGAGAGGAGGACGCGGCGGCGGTATTCGGGAGTGAACTCAGACGGGACCGTTTCTGGGACAGCAGGGAAGGCGGGGCGGGGGGAGGTGGGAGCATGAGTGTCGAAGGGGCGTGGGAGTGGGAACGAGGGTGGCTGATTGCCAGGCCCCCCGCAACCTCCTCGAACATGGTATGTACCGACGCGTCGTCGCTCAATATGGCAACTTCGTCTGTGCAAGGACAGGATTTTGAAGGGAAGGCATGAGTCTTACTCTATTGGAAGTTTCGGCCAGGGCACATTGATAACTGAGACATGCTTTTGGTCATTTCTTGTTCGACACTCACCAGGGGCACAGTCCCTTGCCACCAAAGTCAGCCATTTCAAGATTCCCAGAGCCGAGAGGCGCGTAATTTCCTTCTCGTCCAATACGTTTGAGGAGTAGGAGGAGTGGGAGGAAGCGACGGAGGAAGAGGAATGGATCTGCTTCCATACCGCCCTGAGAATGGAGAGCACTGCACGCACGTAGGACGGTCCCGAGGGAACAGGGAGGGTGCTGGCCGCGATGTCACCATCACCTTCCGCTTTGACCTCCGCGTGGCCATTGGCCTGATCGTGGGAGCCGTTGCCATTTCCATTAGTGTGGAGATTGGATGCGTGCTGGCAGGTGCGGATCTGGCCCGGCGAATCCATTTCCTGTAGAACCACGAAGAGAAGGGCGGGAAAGATAGGGACGGTGAGAAAATCATTTTTGCAGGGGAGCAAAAGCTTTCGGTGCTCCTTTTTTTACCACTTCCTGTTTCGCGCCTTACCTGAGCTGCTAGGGAGACGATCAAGCCCAAGGCCGCACTGCCAATGTCCTCGTCCGTAGGATGCAGGGCAAGGGAGAGTGCTACCAGAGAGAGGACGCTGGGAGTGATCAAGGAGGACCGTTGTAAAGGGCTTCCGTCTTCCGCGAGATTCTATAAGGAGAATGGAGAGATATATTGGGAGTGGAGTAATGAGTAACGACGGAAGAAGCGCCCGAGCGTTGGCTGAGCATCATCCAAGGAGTGAAACAGGAAAGTGAATGACTCGTTCGTACCTGAAGGCAAGAGAGTGCAAAGTGTTGCAGAACAGGCTGGCTGGGGTGCGCCTTTACCACGTCGACCAAGGCCGCCATCATCTGCGGTCGAGGAGAGCAAGAGGAGGGAAGATATACGTGCGTGAGCAATCGCCTTGGGACTATCCAGAGGAGAAGCGTGGTTGTCCCCCCACCCGGCTTGACGACTTCGTAAACCACCCCTTTCTGTCTCATCTCGGTAGTGACCTCACCTGCTCGTTCCAGACACGTTCCACTGTCTCAGGACTTTCCTCCGTCAAAGTTGCGAGGACCATGCAGCATTTTTCTTGCAGGGACGCCACGGACAGGTATCGTTTCATTAAGTCGAGCACGCAGCGGGTGATTCCGGACTGGGAAAATGGTGAGGACGTGAAAAAGAGCGAGAAGGACGGACATGAAGAAAACGGCGTCAAAATTGGATAGATTCTGGTTCCATGTCCTATTTCCCCAACTAAACAGATTTCCCGATCAATCGGCCCTCGCATTTCTTCCGTTGAACAGCACTGCTCTTGCCATCTCATCCTTTCACGATTTCTTTTTCTCCCTTTTTACCTGCAAAAGCATCTCCCTGGCCGTGGGACTCGCGTCTGTAATAAGAATCGCTACTTCCAGATAAATGTCTTGCGAGTCTTCGTCGCGCGCATAGTTCTCCATCGCGGCAACAAAACTGGGGAAGATCGGAAAACGAAAGGAGAAAGGGAAAGAACAACAAGAGTGAGGAGATGAGGATTTAAGCAACGAGTACACTCTGGTGTTGGTGGACATATATGAAGAGGAAAGAAGAAGGGAGAAAGGGAGGAAAGATACTGACATCAAAATGCTAAAATAAGTAGGGATGGGAGGACTCACTTGGATGCCGTGGGCTGGTCATCAAGTAGTGGGTGGCGGCCATTGACTACTTCCAGTAAGAAGAGAAGGGCGGGCGAGGCAGAAATTTCCAGTTCTGACTCGGCCGGGATGGTGGCCAGTGCACGCACCAAAGCCTTGGAGAGAAAGCGAAAAAAGTGTTGTGCATTAAAAACAGTGTAATGCAGGGTGAATATGCGCTGCAGTCAACTACCAGAGAATTGAAAGGCTCACTTACTCCCATATTCCCTTTTCTCCCTCTCGCTTTCCCCCACCCTGTCTTTCATCTTTCCTGCTTCTTACCTGGAAGGCCTGTGCTTCAGCCATCCCGTCCCCATCCCTCGTTGGCCCATTGAGATCGGTCGGCCTCTCCTTGGCCGGATTTTCCCTGTTCCACCCCACCGCCTGCTGGAAGGGCGGAGGTTCCGAACCGTTTGCCAGGACGGAGGGAGGGTGATGGTGGAACTTGTGCTGCGCCGAGGGGGAGGTGAGAAGGAAGGCAGTCTTGTTCAAAAGAATGGTGGTGGCTGTCGGTGAGAGGAGGGTGGAATGGAGGGAGGAAAGGAGGGGAGGAAGATGGTGAGGGGACGTAACGGTATTCCACGCTGTTCGCAGAGGAAAAAAAGAAAACGAGAGGAAAGAACACATTTGTGTGCATAGGGATTTTAAAAGAAATATCAAGAATACGTAGTGGAAAGCAGGAAGGTAGAAAAAACGGAATCCAAGGGGAACGGAGAGGGACGCACCTTTTTCTGCCAAACGCTGTGCCAGAGCCAAAGGCATGTAGAGCGCAACCATGGCCGCTGAACCCGCCACGTGGATCTGTCGGAACGAGTGACTGGTGGATAAATAGGGCGGGCTCATGTGCGTCGTTGGGTTCCCTTCCCAGCCGTCCGCCAAGTCAGGCCCTCGGCCATTTCTCGCCCCTTGGTTTTCTCACGTCCCGTCTACCCCCGCCTCGTACCGCCACGTCGAACGGGTGCTTGTTAAAGATTTGTGTCACAACCAACGCCGCCTTCAGGGCCACCAATCGATGCCGATTCTCCGCGTGCTGCCAGGCAAGTTTGGCGATGGCGAAGCAGCATTTGACCTGATACATACGCGGGGGCAAGACGTCGAGGGAGGAAGGGAAACCGGCTCTATGTGAGCACCTTTGGCCAGAATTGATTTTTTTATCGAGGTTTTTCACTCAAAACAATGCCGTCTAATTCACGATGTTTTGGCTCGCGAATCCCTGAAAAAGCAGTCCGCTCTAAGCCGTCCGCTCCCACTTTTCCTCCCTCCCGCTCTACCTGCAGGTCTCTCGCGTCAGGATGAGCGGCCATGACCGCCAATAGAACGCGGCAACAATCCAGCTGCCCCAGACAGCTTCGTTCGACGGCCCCGCGAGAGGATAGGCTGGAGGGAGGGGGGAAGGAGGGGGCAATGCTTGGATTAGAATGCCCACAGGGAAAACGGACTGACGCAATCATGTTCAACAACCGAAAAACGAGTTTTCCGCTAGATTTTATGATGTATCTCTCGCACGTATATATATATTACATAACGCATCATGCCTCCGTCATGCATGCATGCGCATGAAAAAGAAAAAGACGCTGCCTCGGAACATACCTGTAGATGGCCGTGATAGCCCCGTCTAACACGTCCAAGTCCCTCCAAAAGGTCTTCATCATCTGGACCAGGATGGCGCCGGCGCCCGCTTCGAAAACCCTCTGGGTGTTGGCCTCATGCCGGGAGAGAAGGGCATTTAGAGCGTAAAGGCCTGTCGAAGAGGGAGGGAAGGGAGCAGCGAGGGAGGCAGGGAGGGAGGGAAGGAGGGAGGGGAGGAAAAGAGAGGAATGAGGGAGGGCCAAAAGCACCCAGTGATCTGGTTGATAGACTAGAATAAATGTGGTTTAGGATTGAGAAAGAAAAGGCGGGACCAAGGTCAAGGAAGAGGAGTGCGTACCTGAGAGTTGGATCCCATAGTCGTCGGGCCATTGACGGAGGCTTTCAGTGACGCGAGAGCACAGACCTGCGAGGCCCAGACGGTTCTGCCATTCAGGATGGCCGGTGGCTAGACCCACGAGTGCCTGGAGGACAAGAAAGAAGGCCGGAGGGCGGGGGGGGATAAACGCATTGGAAAAACGCGATCCGGGTCGTTGGACTCGGTTCCTGCGCCGATAATCCTGTAGTGTCATGCAGCTCCCTTTGCCATCCTCGCACAGCTTCCTTTCCCTTCATTCATTTCCCCAGTGTACCTGACAAGCGGCGGCTTGTAAGTCCTTGTCGTCGGTATGCATCTCAAAAATGCGCGTGAAGAGCTCTTCAGCTGACTCCTATCGTGGAAGGGACAGGGACAAGGGAACGAGAAAAGGCGCCAAGGAATGAGATATTAGGACAGGATTCCACAAGTAACGTTTACAAATAGCAGGGTTTGGTTACATATTAGCTAATAGAGGTAAAACGACGGGGAAAAGTATGAAATGCAGGGAGCGAAATAGGGTGGGAGGGAGGGAGGGAGGGAGGGAATACCTGTTGGAAGTTCGCCCTTGCCCCTTCGCTTTTGGCAGCCAGGGCTTCGATTGCTTCCAAACCCATTAATTGGATGCAGCGATCCCCGCTGAAAGTCTGCATTGCCGTCACGACGAGACGACAGGCCCCCAGCTCGCCGAGACGAGTGACGTTTTGGATCGAATACTGGGGGGGCGAAGAAAGGAACCAAGACCCACGGTGGCATATGAGTATCAAAATACATCAACACCAATTATTCAAGAAAGTCGTAACACAGCTTAAGTGAAATACGTGGAAGAGGAAGGGAGGGAAAAGTAAGGGAGGGTAGGAGACAGAGGGGGCGGGGGGGGGGGGGTACCGTGGTGGTGGTCCTTCGACGGAAGCGGTCTTGACGATGGCGAGGAGCCCCTGGTACTGGACCGACGGGTCCAAGGGAGACTCTGCCATGCGTCGCAGGAAAGGAAACCGGGTGGCCCCTTTCCTGTGGGGAGGAGGGTGGCACATGGAAACAGGAAAGCGCCGGGAGTGAGGAAGAAAGCGGTGATTAATGCTGTCCGACACATCATTTCGTCCTTTGATGCCAATCGTCGTCCCTCTCCACACCAACACACTTTCTAACAAACCAAAGGATCCCTGCGCTTGTTGATTATTTTTCCCCTTGTCCTCTATTGCTCATGCATTTCCTTCCCCCCGTCTCTTATCCTCCCTCCCACCCTGTCTCTGATGATGTGCTCTTACCGGCATGTGGGACAGGTGGCATTCCGTTCCAACCAGGAATTGATGCAATTGGCCTAGGAGGCATATGGAGGGGAACACGTTGGATTGTGCATTAGTTTTCTATCTGCCTGTCGCCGAGGCCAGACCCCAATGCCTCCCCTTCGTAAAGCGGCTTGTGGCATCCCAACCCCGACATCCTGCACATTATCCCTGCATCCCGAACACACGCTCAGAATTCGTCGTCTGGCCCTTCCGACTTCCACCGATTTGACACACCATGCCTTCTACATTGCTTTTACATCCCCCCCCCCCCCCATCCTTGCACTTACATGAAAGTGATGACGATCTTCGCACCCCAATAATGACGTTAAATCTGCGCCTTCTTCGATCAGTTCCAAACAGATCACGCACGGGTTCAATCTTGGCACGGACGGCCCCTTGAAGAAGGCTGTACAGTGAAAGGGACGGAACGGGGAAAGATAAATATTGAGCACACGGCAAAAAAACGGACATTGGGTTGCGTCGCAATGCCCACCAGTACCAGTCTCGACGTCCCGACAACCGCCACTGAAACAACGGGAAGGCTCCCTGTCACACTCTGATTCCCTCCATCTTCTCCGTCCGGGTCTTGACGTACAGTCAAAATGGTAGACGTATGGTCCCCGCTCACATGTCCGAACGGGGCCCTCGCCCATTTGGCAGTCCATTTCCATCTTGTCAAAGCACGTGCTGCTTAGCCTCTTTGCATGCAGATGCCACTGTGAGCCAGGTAAGTCGAGGATTACAACGGACGGCTTTTTTGCTCTTCCGCTGTGCTGCCTTGCTCCTTCGTCCTAAAGCGGGCGCAGGCAAATGTGTCACAGACGTGAAACAAAAACCAGAATATATGTTGTACTTGTTCCGATGGTGTAATCGTTTCGCGTCTGCTCGCGGTAGTCCAGTCCAAGACGATGCAATGAATTCAGGTCAAATCGCGAGTGAAGCTGTGTGGCCTTCGAAGGCCAAGAGGCCTTTCCGCTACGCCAAATACTATGATATTACAGCCAAAAAGATAAAGAAGGTAATAAAAGCGAAATGAGATTGTCTGAAGTGTGATGCTTGCCATCGTATTATGAGAAGGTACCGTCCGGAGACAAGTTGCCGGTGTAAGAACGTACTTCGTGTACGCGTGTCACATCTTCCCACATCCTTTATAGAAAATAGCTGAAAAGGTCAACCCCACGGGTCGGTTCGACATATAATTCCATTGCAAGAGATAACAGGAGTGAAAACTAATACATGTGACTGCAAGCGGCGCCACAGTCAATGAGCGACGCTTGTCCATCGAGACCTCAACCTTCCAGGCCTGGAAACCTCAAGGAGATAAATTTCCGGGGCCGATACCAGAGGTAGGCCGAACGTAAGCGCCTCAAGCAGCAGGCCTCCTTGCCTTTTGCTTTGAAGCAGCAGCCGGCAACGCTCACCCGATTCGTGGCGTTTGATTGGTGGAAAATTTTCAAATTCCTTCAAGATGCCCTACCATTCGCTGCCCCAGCCTGGTGCCATTGCGACCGGTTCCCGAAAGCGGATGGGCAGGACATGGAGGGCGGAAAACAACAAGGATGCTGCATGGAAAATAAGCTTAAGTAGCGGTAAAAGCCAAGTGTACATCAGGATAATGATGTTTGGGGTTCTTTCTTTGAAAAAAATATCGAGTGAGCATGCGCGATGCACTTCATGAGGCGCAACGGTGTGGCGCGTCGCACTTTCCCTACTATTTTTCCGGCCGATACCTTCAGAACTTTTGCCATGAGTGACTTTTTACCGGGCTTAATATGTCTGTAGCTGAAGCCTTTTTAGGATATCATTTGGACGCAGTGTAAAGCCACACGTTTCATCGGTCTGCAAGACGTTTTGTCTTGGATACCTCCAATTTGGTTATGTTTTGTTTCCGCACGAGCGATGTTACACTAGATACACAAGATTTATCAGCAATGCAAATAAACTATCATTTTGAACATAATCGATGGGCACAGAAAAAGATAAGCCGCGACCCCGGAAATTTGAGAAATACAGAAATTCTGTGTCCCATGTTTCTGGCATTCCATTCATCACCCGTGGCACCACGGGTAGCATACTAGAAAGATGATAGGTAGTGTCTGCCGTGTTATACGTGATGGATTGGAGAAAATTTAAATGGAAAAAACTTGAATGGATATATAGCCATACATATTCGACATCTCCATTGGGTCCAATACTCCACACGTTTTACGAAACGCGCAATTAGAAAGGTCTCAAAAAGATTGATTGCTTCTCCGTTGAAGAATCTTAACATTTTCCAGCTTCTAGATCTACTTATATGAGAGCTTTTTAGTATCTCTATACGTCGTCATCAAGCGCTAATCATCTTACCGAACGCCTCCAATGCCAGGCGCTCCGACGTCTCCTACACCCCGCAGACCCCGCTGCAATTGTTTTCCATCCGCCCATTCAGCATGCAGGTATTCGTCATCCTCAGCCTCAGCTAGTCTTTTCAGCTCCTCTTGCCTTTTAAAGTAGTGTGCCAACATTGCCAACCTCTCTTCCTCCCTGACTACGGGCTCACGCACTGGAGGACCTTGGCCAGGCCCTGCTAGCTTGACAACAATCTTGGTCTTCTCATTGCGACAGCCACCCAATTGTTCTCCAACTGTTTTCTCACGCACGAATTTTTTCCCCATGGCCCACAGTCGTGCGGTTGTGGGGTCAAGACCCGAAAGGCTCCCATCCTGCTCAGGATTGTTAGCACTATTTGCCTTGTTCGCCTCACATGAAGAAAGAGCCTGGAGTAGGGTTGGAGACCTTCCACTTCTAATTACACGTGACATCTCGGCCAATACCACGTCTTTGGTGCCATCGCTTTGTTTCACGTTTTGGTTAAAAGACGTCGCCAGGGGAGACGAGACCGAAGGAGAGGCAGACTCGATAGCGCCATGGAAGTTGTCCAGTTGTTCTTGAAGCAGAGTGCGAGACATAGCGTGTTGTGGTTTTTTGGGTTTATTTACCTGTAAAGTTCCATCATCTCCAGTCTTTTTCTCCTCTTGACTTGTGCTGTTACTGCCTAAGTACGCTTCCGCATCAAACGCCACCCGAACTAGTACGTCCTTTCTAGGTGTGATGTCCTCGCTACTGTTGCTTCGCACGCCAAGCTCATCAGGCTCTTGAGGGATACTTTGCACCATATTGACGAGACGCTGCAAGAGTAGGCGGGCGTTCCACACCCATACCAAGTCCTGGATTAGGTCTTCATTTTTTGTTTCACATGTAGTCTCGTACAAAAACTCGTCTCCATCTGACCGTTTGACATGAAGTACCACCATATGGCTGATTAAAGAAGTAATTTATATTGTGCTGTGTCACGCAAAGCCTGTTGGTGTTGAGAAGATGGCAAAATTATCAAAAAAAATGGGGAAAAAAGCCTCCAAGATTTGTTCCGTAAACTTTTGGCGTTGGTCCCAGAGGGCGACAAAGGTTTTGCAGAATTCCTGCTATTCTTTTTCCCTACTAAGTATGTCATGGCTTGTGTTCAAAAAAATTGATTACTAACAAGACATTGACAACTTTGACACGGCTATCATGTTTGTGTGTGCGAGCTTCACACAAATTCTTTTGCCGAATGGGCCCATAGGAATAGTCTTTAACCTCCTCTCCTCTAAGCTTCTAACTTTCCATTCCTAAGAAATCGAACGGCTGAAAGCAGAACGAGCATCACGGTGCTCATGCAACCCGATACATTTATTAGTTTATTCATGATTTTTTTTTTCCCTTAGTAATTTACGTTTACTCGCCCTTATCGACCTCCCACAGGTGGCTTAGCTTCTGGGTGCGGGGTGGCAAGGAAAGAGGTGGACATCTGTCGTGTGCTTCGAGTCCTTGTATTGCCGCCAAGCCTACTCTGTGATTTACTCACGGGAATAGACTGAGTCGAGGTCCTGTCAGGCATTGTTCTCGGTCCTTCACAAAGAAGTTCACCTTCGTTGCTCATATGAGCACCGTTGGCTAGTACAGCCGAAGATGTAGCGGACATGGCCGCGGCGGGCTCTGCCGGGGTGTGAAATGAGTGCGATTGAGTATTTTTAGTACATTCCCGCGTCTCTGAGAACGGTAAGAGATGGGTCGCAGGGTTTCGGGGTGCTGAAGCGGACGCAGGCGCAAAAATTCTGTTCTCGGCCGCCTGTGAGGACTGGGCAGAAGAAGCAGCAGTACATGAATCTAGTAGCGCAGTAATCAGTGACACCCACAGCAAACGGCTTTGTGCGCTAGGTGCGCGGAAATTATACCGTGCCGTGTACGTGGCTCGATCCTCATCCCCAGGAAAGACGCTCAAGCCAGGATATTTGGCATCTAGCGCGGCACCAGAGGAGGCCCTTACGATAAGGTCAAAGCGTCGACCAGCCCACTGGGCATCGCTAGGGCATTCAATTTTCTCTAGCAAGCGCAAATCCAATGCGCCTTTCTCATGTAAAGGTATGCAGCCCCATGCTGCAGGGACGGAGCTTTGATAAAAGCGTATCTGCTGAGAGCCTGCGTAGAGCACTAGATGAAATGGGACCCAAGACATGAGTAGCCCCCCTAAGGAGCGAGACGGTGACCACAGTTCCATGTTTCCCTCGAGTAAGACCCGATTTTGCGCCCTGTTGTTGTTGGCCAATGCGCTCATCGCCTGGTCTTGAGCCATCTGGAGGAGGCTTTGCAAATGAGGGCGCGCCGTGCCGGAAAGCTGGTCGAGTCCCTCCATGACGCTTCGCAACGCGGGGTCTACGGGACGTGTGTCTTTATTTCTATCCCCTATTGCTCCTTTGCGCCAGTAGGTGTTACCCGTGGGGAGGGATGAAGAATTGCTGTCTCGAGGTACGAGCATTCCTCCCCATGACAGGCTCTCCTCAAAATGACCCGTGCGAGCTTCCTTCCGAAGAACGTTTGACCAAGCGCAGGTTTCCCTGTGTTTGTCTTCTGGCGTTCCTTCATCTTGGTTGGCTTGTAGAGAGCAGTGTTGCTTGGAGCGGCTACCCTGCCGCTTGGAAAGAGAGTAATTACGGTTCCATGAAAAGCTTCCACGTCCCTTTCGACGTGGGGAGGAGTCAGCAGCCCGTCGACGCTCGACTTCCAGGTCCTGCCTGGAGACGTTGCTCTCGGTGTAGGATGGAGAATACACTGCATCTCGTGCAGGCCGATGCTTCCGCGCCGGGGAACGCAAGGGAGATGCTGACCCTTGATTCCCTCGGTAGAATGTTCTGTCGTCCGGGAGACCGTCCACTTCTAGCCGCGACTTTGCCAAGGCCTCCGCCCAAGTCTCATGGCCTCGTTTGCTGATGATTGTCGTATGTTCCCCCTCCTCCTCTTCATCGTCATCCTCTTCTTCCTCCATTTTCTGCTGTTCTCGGCCCCATCGGATGCTTTTCCGGCTAGACCGTCCTCTCCTATTGTCAAGGGCTGAATGTGCAGGTTCATGGCTCCGTCGATAATATTTACTCGCTGCTCTCGAGGTATTTTTACCTCCCAAGCGAAAGAAATCCCGAATGCTTTGTGTAAGCTGTGGGCTTACGAAAGGGTGGTCAGAGTAAGAAGAGGGAGGGCTGCGGCCCTGATAGTGATCTCGACGCTTGGAGTGCGACCCGTGAGGGTAATGATGGTAATTGCGATTTCGGTGTCGTCTGTAGGCATAAGCCCTGTCCCTCTCGTCATCGCTACTGCTACTGCAGGACTCCCACTGACCACTGCTGCAGCTGCTACAGTCATACGCCACCCTTTTGTCTGCCCGGGGCACGTCCGCGTGCGCGAAGCGATTTGCTTTTTCGGCGCCTTTTGTCTTGTGACGAGAAGCGCCAGTCTTAAAGCAGTCGACGTGGGTTTTTATGTGATGGGTATGTGATGAATGGGGGGAAAGGTTTCGCCCCTCACGCGGGCTATTGCTACGTCGTGGGCTCGAATTGATGGTTCGATGGCGCGAACGTGTTGCACTCTCCTTCCTCTCCTCTGCTTCTACGTCGCCGCTATTTAATGGATAATGGTGATGTTGGTGGTCACGAGTGACTGCCGCCACATCCTCATTCTCCTCATCCTTATTGCCGGTAATATTACTGTCATGATGTGGCACAGCGGGTTCCTCCTCTGTCAAGTTCTCCCGTGGAGGAGACTGGCATAGTGGTGACTTGCGAGCCCTATACGCCTTTCCCTTGGGTATTTCAGACGACATCTGTCTCATCTGCTTCTTACTTTGCCATTTATAGATCGCAGCAGCCCTGTGATCGCTCTCAGCTTTCATGATTTCACACGTTACGAGGCGCTCGAATTCGTCTTGGGTGTAGCTTGTTTTGCCTAGACCTTCAAGTATCTGCACAAATTGCGATGCTCCAACCTCTAGACGTAACCAATGAACTAGAGTAGCAGTGTCCACTGTGCCGTCTGCTCTGCGACGGCACTTTTTAAAAGTCTCTAAAAGAGCTATGGGATCGCTGGCCTCCATTAGACAATGTCGACCCCTGCCGACCGTTTTATGTTTTTTTTTCCTGAAAACAACGTAAGGGAAGAATGATTTTTCAATTTTTAATCTTTTTAAGAATATTGATAGTGGTCGCTGCGATGGAGTAAACTGAAATCTGTTGTGGCATTTGCTTTTTAACGCGGAGCCAAATTTGTTCCATGACAGGAATTTTCAAAGTAAGGAAGAAGAATACCAAAATGTCGTACGTAAGTCAGTTCAGGAATCAAAAATTCATATAAACTAACGAACAGATCCAAGCATCCGTGCGCGGTGTCGCGGTGGCGGTATATACGTAGGGCTGTAGGTGCGAAAAAAAGGACTTTTGGCTCTGCCTCCACATGGGCCATCATCGTTCGCCGTTGAGCTCCAATACGGCCGGAGGGATGGGATATTGACCTCCTCCCAGTCATGCTTTTGCAAATATATGTATGCATAACGACGCTATGGTAAACAATTCGTAAGGATATGTAGGAGCATTTCTTTAGATACACATTCCTGGCAGAGTGAAACAGGCAAATTCTGGGATCGACAAACGAGAAGAAAGGTGAAATGGTCGTTGGTTTTCAAGCACAACACACATTCTGTATCTCGTTTATTCTCTTTTTATAATAATTTACTTTCCTCTCCATTTTGCGTTGTGTCGATGCATCAACCTCTATTTATTCTTCATGTACATAGCAAGAATATTGAAGAGGCCGCACGCACAAAGCCTCCCAACGTGTGCCGCCGTGTACAGACAGCAAGCTGGGTTTTCCTCGGATCTTATAATATTTGCTAGGCCAGTCTCGAACATTTGAGCGACTTCCCAGAATCGAACTCTCGCTAATACTCGCTACAATTCTTGCATTCTGGTGATTCCACACTATCGTCCCCGACATTGTCTCGCCGCTTCTGTACCGCTCGTATCCTGCATTTCCTCCTCACTCTTTCTGCACTACCCATCGCGGGTTCCGCCTCGACCCGGCACGAGCCTTTATCCTCTCGCCCGTCCTTCCCGTCGCTAGATTCATCAACGTCTTGTTTCTCCTCAAGCACCCGAGGACCCAAGACCCCGCCCCTCCCCCTTCTCGGCGTCGACGTCCCACCCGTGGCCCTCGTTTCGAGAACACTGCCGGATGCACTTCCAACCAATCTTCCTCCGCTTCCTCCCAGGCCCCCCATCGACCTTCGTGCCCGCCCTCTCCCACTCCCTCTTCCACCTGCCACCGGAGGCAGGCCGGGAGATCCGTTTTCTTCGACGGCGTGGTCGGAGGCGCAGGAGAGAGGGTCTGTGTAGCTTCCACATGGTTCGAAGAGGTTTTGGATGAAGCAACGCCAGTCGGGCCCGCCAGCCGGGCGACACCGGAGGAGAGAGGGGATGAAGACGAGGAGGAAAATGTAAAGGAAGACGGGGAGGACGGGGGGGAGGAGGGGCCCGCAGTGCTCGAATCGGGTTTTTCGGTGCTTCCTCCGGATTCGGAGACTGGTCTGGTCGTGGAGGAAGGAAGAGATCGGGCTGCAACCTCCTTTCCCATTCTTGTTCCTGGAGCGGCTAGCTTGGTGCCCGTCGAAGAAGAGAGCTCCGCCGTGGTCTTCTCGTCCCCTCCCACCGTCCCGGAAAGCGCGGGGTGCTCCGACAAACCCATGACTTCCTCCTCCTTCGTTTCCTCCCGGTCTGTCTCCCTGTCTTCCTTCTTCCGCTCCGCCCACATTTTCTCCGCCTTGACCAGCACGTCCACACAGGCATTCCACCCCATTTGCCGGGCCATTTGGGAAGGAGTGTGCCGCGGCCAAGACGTGGCTGGAATCGTAGGGTCCGCCCCGGCCTGCACTAGGCGATCGAGGATATGGCGATGCCCCGTGCCTGCCGCTTCATACAGGGCTGTCCAGCCAAACCTAAGGAGTGAGAAAGAAGGGGAGTGCGTGGATTAAAGGGGTGCCCGCACAGCGAAGCTTTTGTTGTCTTCCTACTCCCGACGAAAGCGTCAGCAAGAGAAAGCAGCTGTTCATCTCTTGGTATTCGCCATGCGATAGACGTTCACATACCTATTACGAGCGTTCATGTTCAACCCCTCCTGCGCTAACAGCCACTGCACTACTTTAAATGACCCCTTACGGGCCGCCAAGATGAGAGGAGTGTTGCCTTCATGATCCAGCGGAGCATTCAGTGTATTATCAACACCTTGCTTCCGCAAAAGCTTGGTGAGGGCGGGAAGGTCCCCTTTTCGGACTAGCTCCTCCCGGCTTGGCTTGCGGGACAGCAAAGAGAGGAATAGGCCCTGTTTCTTGTTTTTGCCTGACATGGGAACCGGCGCTTTTTTGTAGCTTGGCCACCACGGAGGATATTGCCAACCTCACACGGGCGCCAGTGCAACTTTGTCTCAAATGCGTGGTGATTAGCTCAACAGATGCGCCTTTCTGAATAAGTGATTTTGGGATGGTAATGATACTACGTGGTTAATCTTATTAGTGGCAATGCCAACGCATCGATTGCCTGGCAGAGTAAACTATTCTTGCGCGTGGCGTGCCCAAATTTCATGCCAAGACCAAGAAGGGGGGCGCCTTCTCGCGTGAATGGTATAATGGTTCGATTTGACGGAGGCTGGGGCTGGTACTTGTGGACGGGTCGGTAGCACAGCTCGCTCCTCCCGCCGGATTCGTTACTTTCCCCGCGGCAATCCCCTGCTCAGTCACGCATTTTCACAGGCACCTTCGCGTTTGTCGGGCTTAGATGATCACTTAGACGTACATAATTACTTCTTTAGTACTGGGGAAAGCAACACGTATGGGATTGACCCTTCACCCTAATTCGGCTTTATTTAACTGAAAAGCAACAAGTGCAGCCCAAGACTCGGATGTCGAGCATGTCGTACCCCGTGCTCAATCGCCCCTTCTATATCCGACGTAGTTTTTACGAGCTCTCTATTTTTGCGAAGATGAGGCACCTTTCGGTCTTCTCACGAGTTATTTTGACCCAAAACTGTCATCTCATGCCCACCGTTCTCGTGTTTTTCGGGCGTGTTTGTCATGCTTTTCGCCCCTGCTTCAAAAGCGTCCATCACCATTCCCATGTCACCCGCTGCTTTTTCAGCCAGCCCCCGGAAAGCTCCTCCTTTCTTTTTCAGCAAATTCTGTTAGAAGGGAGGGAAAATTGGTCACGGGCGTGTGCGTCGGAATAAGCGACGAAATATGAGCACTTTTGTGAGCCTCAACAAGCAAAGTACAATTCCTATCATTACCCTGCTCGAGCAGGCTGTTGCGAGTTGTTTACGCACCAGTGGTGTATCGAATTCAACAACTGTTCCGGCATCCAACACAGCGATTCGATCGTAATCCACCAGGGTAAAAATCCGGTGAGCAATGGTAAGGAGTGTGGCACCTATGCGCGTACGGGGAGTGAGAAAACCTCGTGAGTCCCGTACATTTCGTCAACAAAAAGGGCGCAGTAAAGATGAAAGCTCGGAAAGGAAGTCTCTCTCATCCGTGTTCCAGAGTTGCCAGTATTCTACTTTTCCATCGACCCCATAACCAACCTCTGAATTGAGTCCTGATAGTTTCTTGAATCAGGCGGTCCGTCTCTGCGTCCACTGTGTAGCGTTGTCGCGAAGCATGTTCAGTGTGGGTATGGGGAGGAAACGACGCATGTATGAGTGAAAAAGAGATGTCATCCTTCAACGTGTCTAGATGATAGCATGTGCAGGCAGGGAGATGAGACGGCCGTGTACGCGTCCGAATGCCCGCATGAAGATTCTCCAAGAGGATGGACAACGCATGGAGGGATACAGGTAGGCCGAAACGGTAGGACATGGCATAATGGGCAATAAGCAAACAGAGAAATCTTGCAGGCTCCTGGGTACCAGCGTACTCTCAAAGTACCGCAAATGGTCACCTCGACTACCTCTACCGCCGTACGAGATTAAAAGAATTTCTAGACCAAAGAAACAGCCGTGACTCATCGCTGGACTCCTTTCTCCATCCTTTCTCCTCGCCTTCCTCCCTTCCTACCAGCACTCGTTGCCTCGTCAAGGAGAAGTACACGGGAATGCCTCAGCAGTGCCCGCGCCATACAGAGAAGTTGTCGCTCGCCAAGGCTAAAGTTCTTCCCTCCCTCCTCCACCTCGGACAAAAGGCCCTGTGTCGTGAGGAACAAAGTGTTGAAACCAAAAAGAGAGAGGAAAGGAGAAAAGAATAATGAAAAGACGCGGTCCCGTCAGAGATCTTTGTCATATTCATGCCAAAATAGCGCGCCAGAGCTTCCCCTGCTTCCTCCTCATTTCTGTCCTATGCCGCTATTCCGCTCGGTCTTGCTGTCTCCCTTTCTCTACATCCGTTTTTCAAAAGGCTCGGCAAGAATGCCCGTCTCCTTTGTTTCCTGCTCGCCTTTCTGATTGTTGCCCTTACCCTACCCCTGCGCTTACCTGAGGCAGGCGGCGTACTTGAGCAGCCAAATGCGCACGCTCCAAGGCCCTCCAGATGTCATTATCGGAGTACTGGTCGAACGGGTCCAAATTGAAACGCACGGAACCCGTGAAGAGGACAGGGTCCTAGACAGAGGCGGGGAAGCAAGGAGGGGGAAAGAAGGATAAGGGATGGAAGGTGAAGGATCATAGGAGGAAAAATGTTCCCAAAATAGTAGTAAAGACAAGTCCACCTCTCTAATTTGACGCCCTATTCGCCTCCATGATTTCCTCAGCGTGGATTGTAAAGTCTCGAAGGACCTTGGTCTCTCCCCTGAAAATTTTCCTTCGTTCTTCGTGCCCCCCGTCCCGCTCTCTTTCCCCCTTTCCAACCTGGGGGATGATACTGAATCGGCTACGAAGGTCTTCGGTTCCCATTTCTCGCGTGTTGAGACCGTCCACTTCGATGGAACCGCTCTCCGCCTCCACGAGTCGAAGGAGGGCGAGAAGGAGCGAGGACTTTCCAGCACCAGTACTGTGGGAGAGGGGGATAAAATGGGGATAAAAAGGGGGTTGAGTGGAGGTGAGGGGGAAAATAAACTACAAACGCACAGGGCGAAAAAGACGCACCGTCCGACAATGCCAATGCGCTCGCCAGGATTGATGTCCAAAGAGAGGTTCCTGTGTCAATGTCAGAAAGCATTCAGTTGAGGATCGTCACACTCCATCTCGCATTGATGAAAAATGGCGCCAAGCATCTGTCCCGCCCCCCACCCATTCATCATCCATCTCACCGTAACACCAAGGGCAAGCCTGGCCTGTACGACAAACACAGGTTCTTGATGGCAACCTTCCCTGCTTGGGGCCATCCCGGGGGGGGGCGCTTCCCTTCGATCAATGCAGGGGCTTCGGAAGGGACCTCACTGTATTCCTGGATGCGTTCCACGGCTAGAGGTGGTAAAAAGGATGGAAGGAGGAAAGAGGAGATCGAACAAAATCAAAAGGGGTACTCTTCGTCGAGGTGTGGATGACTGATGGCTCAGGTGCCCAAAAATCATTTTTCTCTCCCCTTGCCCCTTGTTTGCTTCCTCTCCTCTCTCTCCCCAACGCTGCTTACCGACGATGTTCGTCTCCACCTCGCTGGTCATGCGCACCATCCAGTTCAGGGTCTGTGTTATAGAAAGCGCGTAGGAAATCGAGAGACCACCCTTGCCAGCCGTCACACCTGAGTTAGGGTGGAAAGAGAGGAGAAAAAAATGGGGAGGAATGGTAGATTTGAACGAAAAGAAAGTTGATTCGACATCTTATGATGGCATGGCGAGATTCTGGAGCTCACAAGATCACCTCCACGACGGATTCCATTCCTATCGCAATCCCTACCTCTTCCCTTCCCTACCTACCGTGGTCCCTGCCCAGAATGGAGAAAATGCCAGCCAGAGAGACGATGCAGGCGCCCACAAACTCGAGCCGCATCGCCAGCCATCGATTTGAGGAGATGTACATGTAATAAGCCTAGAATGGACGAGGCAGAGGAAGGAAGAGAGAGTGAAAGGGAGAACCATAATGAGCGATAGCTCCTAAACGCGGAGCTATTGGTTTCGGGACAAAGGCGACGGAAGTAGGCATCACATGTCTTGTCCCACCCCTCCATTTGTTCCATCGTTCCCTACTGTCATTTATTACAAATAACACAAGCCTTCCTAGCTTCCTGCCCTTTTTTCTGGCCTCCCTTACTTCTCCTCTTCCCACCCTCACCTGCAAATTATAATCAACCCTCTTCTCATTATCTTTGATGAACATGAACTGCGCTCGGAAGGCGCGAATGGTGCTTGTCCCCTCCAAAGAAGCCCCGAAATGTGAGAAAATTGGAGAACGCGAGACAGAATCCAACCGCTTCAGTTCACTGGGATAGCATCAAGGGGAAGTTTAAAGTGTAAGTAGTATGTTGCCAAGCACCCACACCTGGTCTCTCAACCCCCTCCTCCCCCCGTTTCTTCTCTCTGTTCCTCCCTTCTTACCGTGAAGACGGCACGTAGTAATTTTGCGCGAAGTAGTAGAGCATAAATGGCGGAACCACGGCCGGAAGAAACCAGCCGTTGACCGTCGCAATCACGATGATGGTCCCTTGAATGGGTGGGAAGAAGAAAAGGAGGAACAGAGCACGCGAGTAAATTTAGGGGGGAATTCGCGGTCGCCACGCGCGAGTCACTTGTCAACTTAAAAGCCCTGCATGTGCCCCCTCGCTTTTCCAGCCTCCCTCGACCTACCCAAGACGCCGGTCATGCACTGGAGGTACATGTAGATGGAGGGCATCAGAGTCTCGTCCACCGTGTCTAAAAGGCGAGGAGAGGGTTGTATGAGGAAAAAAAAGGCATGAGCAAGTCCATTCCAGCATCTCTCGCTTTCGCTGGCAGAATTTTCCCCTCCATTCCTCGGTTCTCTCCCTCTTTCTCTCGGTCCCCTTGTGTTCCTCGACCCCCGATATCTCATCCAGCTTCCCGTCCCCTCTCCCTCCCTCCTAGTATCCTCTGTCGATTACGCACAGGTGTCTTTCGAGAAGCGATTAAGAATGCGGCCCAAGGGTGTGGTGTCAAAGAATGCCTGCGCATCGGTAGAAAGAGAGGGTGAAGGGGAGAGACAGAATGGGATGGATGCGCGAGATAAGTAGAAATCAATCGTTGGAAACACCCCCTTCTCCTCCTTTTTCATTTCTCTCGTCAAATATGAGCATCTCTCCCCCTCCCTTCCTACCATGGGCGCCCTCATCAAACACCCCAAGATCCCCTCGTGGAACACGCGCGCGGCCCGCATCCCTGCCAACGTGAATGAAAGGAGCGTGAAGACAATCACCACCGCAGAGAGGCTGCACAGGATCGCGTAGATGCTCAGTCCGTGCTCGGCCTGTGGGATCAAAAAAGGCAAAGGAACGAAAGGGGAAAGTTGAGCAGGCAATGCACCCAAAGTGTGTGCAGTACAGCTGCATTGCATCCTCTCTCCTTCCTTCCCTCCCTCCCTCGGATACCTCTAAACTCTCGTCGCTCCAGATCGAGAGCCAGAAGTTGCTGCCGATCTGCAAGGCTTGACCGGCCCATAAAAAGGCAAGGGCGAGAAGGAAGACGCCAATGCCGCCCGCGCTGAATAAGAACGGGAGATTTGGTGGGGGCGCCGGGGGGGATTGCGATCAGTAAGTCGACACGATGTTTCGTCTTTCGCCTGACGCCAGCGTCGACGCGAGCATCTCCGCCTTTTCCCTTCTAACCCCATGCCTGTCCCCTCTCTTTCCCGCAACCCATGTTCCCTCCCCCCCACGCCTTCTTGCCCTCCCCCGCTCCTACCATCGGATGTAGGCCCTGTAGATCTTCGTGCCCACAGACCCGCGGCCCACCGCCTCTTTCTCCACCAGTTTCCCGGAATCGAGCCGTTTCTTCTTCATCGCTTCCTCCTTTCCTCCCTCCGCGTCTGTCTCCTTCTTCTGCTGCTGCGCCGCTTGTTCGATCTTCGCCTCTTTCCCCTCCACCCTGTCCTCCTTCCCAGACTCCCCCTCAGCCACCGCCTTCATGTTCAAAAGGTTGCTGCTGCTTCCCCCTCCCACCCCTCTTGTCAACTCGACGAACGTATGGCCCGTCCGGGCAAACTCCGTGTAAGTGCCCTGCAGCCGCACGACGGGGAGAGGGAGGGAGGAGGAAGAGGAATGGATGGAGGGGTCAAGGTCAGCTTGGGTAGAGAAAAGGCTGGAGAGGGTCCTGCGTCTAAACTCGTAATTTCCCCCTTTCCGCCCATGTGTCCTCCCTCCTTCCTCCCCGCCCCTCCCCGCCCACCTTGAAGGCCATCCGCTGTCCCTCCAAGAGCAGGAGCTGGTCAGCCCTCTCCAGCGTGTGAAGGTTATGCGTCGCCAGCAGCACGGTCTTCTCACGCAGGAGGCCACAGATGCAATTATCCAGGATATGCTTGGCCACCTCTGGGAAAGGAGGGAGCAAAGGAGGGAGCAAAGGAGGGAAGTACAAGGAAGGGGTGGAAAAAATGGTGATTGGTTGTGGCACCTTGGAAGGAAAGGAAGTGAAAATTACAGCCCACAAAAATGCAGTGGAAAAACGATGAGCATACTCAATCGACCATCCCTCCTTCCCTCCTCCACATTTCCCGCCTCCAATACCTGAGTCGACCGCTGCGAGGCAGTCGTCGAGCACGTAGACTTCACACTGCTGGTAAAGCGCCCGAGCCAAGGCGATACGGGCCTTCTGACCCCCTGAAAGGTTGATGCCTTTCTCTCCGATTTCCGTCTGGTCTCCTGCGGGGAGAATGGCCAGGTCAGGAAGGAGGGCGCAGGCCTGGAGGGAGGTGGAGAGGTAGGAAGGGAGGGTGGGCGGTCGTTGAGGAAAGGGACATTGCTCTCTAGGCAAGGACGGAAGCTTGAGGTGCCCCACTCAGGCCTCCTGGCGTAGTTGATCTCTGCCCTCAATTTTACTCTTGCCCTTCAACTTCTTGTCCTCCCTCTGATTCTCGTATTCCCCCCTGATTCCTCACCTCGACTACACGCGTGTACCAGCCTTGGTCGTACGCTTTTCCGAAGAGGATGTTCTCTCTGACCGTCTCGTTTTGAATCCAAGCTGTGTCGTGAGATGGACGGAAGGAAAGCCATGCAAGGAAAAGAGCGACAAGATGAGCTACACGAGCACAGGGAGGACGGAAACATAGGCAACAGGGAGGAAAGGACAAGGAAAGAATTAATCGAGCAATGGAACCGGCAGGATCGACATACCTGTCTGAGCTACGTAGGCAATGGAGCCGTGTACGCGCAAAGTCCCTTTAGAAGGGGTCAAGTCACCTAGGAAAGGGGGGAGGAGTAGACAATCAGAGGGGCCCAGAACGGAGGAAAAGGGCGCATTTCACGGGGTGGGCCCCAGCCTGTGATCAGCCTGCCCCCTGCTTCCTTCCCTTCCCGTCACTTGTGGACAAGCGACCCGTCGGTTTGACCTCCACGCCACTGGTGAAAGGGATGCTCTCCATAACTCTCACGCCATCTCCTTGCGGCACACTCTCTCGCTTTCTCCCTTCACAACCCCCTCGTCTCCCCTGATTGTGAAGACACGCACCGATCAAAGCGAGGAGGAGGCCACTCTTCCCTGCTCCCGTGGCCCCAAATATGACCGTTAAAGTCCCGGCGGGCACCGTGAACCTCAAGTCGCGGAGGAATGTAAGCGTCTCTGCGGGAAGGAAAATAGAGGACGGGACAAGGTGACCAAAAGACATGACAAGAGAAGGCAAGGTGAGCATCAAGAGGATTTTAGATCCATTCCGGGGTCCGATAGGGTCCATCTTCCCCTCCGTCCATCACATTCTTCCGAAACCCGATGCAGCGTCCTCTGCGCTTCTTTCCTCTTCGGCCCATTCTTCTCTCGCGGGGTCCTCCTTAGATCGTAACCCCCAGATTTTCTCCATCTTCCTTCGTCTTTCTCTCTCTCCCTCCCCCCTCCCCTCCCTCCCCCCCCCCTCCCATACCCGTCTCCTTCCCGTGGCCCCAGGACAGCGTCACGTCCTCCAAGACCACGGGGGGACCAACCGGTCGCGCAGGGCCCAAGGAGGGCAAAGGATCGACTTCCGGTGTCTCCAAAAAGCGTGCTATGCGTTCCAAGGAGAGGAGGGCTTCCGCAGTGGAGGAAAGCATTTGAGGAAACATGGCCTGACCAAGGAGGAGAAACGAAGGAGGAGTGAGGCTCGGGCAACAATTTCCTGCGTCTCAAGACAGCCACAGCATGATGTACAGTTTTTAATCTCGAAGTATTTGGAAAGCTTTCTCTTGATGACAGTAGAGTCCGTCGACGAGAAAGGAGAGGAGTCTGTAAATTCCCGGGGGAAAGGCTTACCAAAGGGAAGCGTAAAATGTTGAATAGCGCAATGGAGGTAAAAGCGGTGGAGGAAGTGAGCTCGTGGCCCATCTAGGAGGGGGAAGGGGAAACGAAAGGAGGAAAAAGGAGAAGGGAGGGAACGATTAAATAGATCACGAGATATTGAGGATCAAAGTCCTTGAGGACTGAGAGAGGTTACATTTTTCACCACTTCAAACTCTTTCCTCCTCTTCCCCCTCTCTCATCGTACCAGCACGTAAACTGCAAAAGACGTCAAAGAGACAGCCAAGGGGACAATGTTCCAGGTAAAACGCGCGACTATGTTGGTCATCATGTACTGACGCAGAAGCCGAAGTTCCTTGTCGCGAACTTGCCGGATTTTTTCCTGTGATTATGGAGGGAAAGGTTGTGAAAAGGAGAGGAAGATGTGAGCGGATTTCTCAATATAGGAAGGATTAGAGCGGCACATTGAGTAAAGTGGGTGGAGTTAGGAGAGAAGAAAATCAGGAGCCCAAGGAAAGACGCGTGTAAAATCATGTGATGATGGAATGCATGGACGTACCTGAAAGGACCGCTCCCACGCGTATAATTTGATGATTTTGATTCCAGAGAGAACTTCATTCGTGACCTGATAGAAATGTTGCGAGAAAATGTAGAAAGCTGCAGGATAAGGCGAAAGCCTCCAATCTGACCTTATGCCCTCCCTCCTTCCCTTCCTCCCTCTCCCTTCCCCTCTCTCCCGCCCGTCTTGGACCTTTATTCGCTCGTCCTTCACCGCCATGACTTTTCGCTGGATCTCGCGCGTGCGGCGAGCCACAAATGCGGAGATGGGAATGGAGATGAGCATGACCCCCAAGCCTCCCACGATCGCCACCCCCAGCTCCCGGTACAGGAGGAAGAGGGCCAGAGAGCATTGGTAGGGAGCAGACCACTGCCGAGGACGGGAGCCAGGAATGGAATCATATAGGAAGGGAGGGGGGAGGAGAGCGACCATGGGCAAGTGCAAGGGCAACATCGAAGGAACCGGGATTAGGGATGACGCTTCAAAACCTGGAGTGCAGCCAACCCATCCCCGTCCCTTCTCCCTCCCTCTTCATCCTCGACCCCTCCCTTTGAGCTCCCTCGACCCCCTTTCTCACTGACCAGGGTCGAGAAATAGCTCATGAGGTCCTGGAGTCTCTGCGCGTCTACGGCCATCAAATTCGTGATCTCCCCCGTGCTTTTCGCCTCCAGGCTCCGCTTCGGGGGACCAGGCTTGCTTACCACCGTGGTACCCGCCTGATGGGAGAGGGTGGGACGTAAGGAAGAAGACAGAGCCAGCATGGGGCAACGCTCCTCGTACTCATGGCAATAAAATCTCTCCACAGACGGCCCATCATCTTCCCTTCCCCTTACCCCACCATTCCCCCCGTCTTTCCCTCTGCTTCACCTTCCCCTGCTCTACACCCTCCTCCTTTGCTTCCTTTCCCTTGGATTGTCCCGGGCGTATCTTCAAGGCTTTTTTATAGACGAGCCCAATCACCGCGCTTTTGAGGCGCATGCCGGTCCGGAAGCACCGATGGAAGTATTGATGCAGACTGATAGAGGAGCAAACAGCTGAAAAGGAAGGAAGGGAGAGGAAGGTGAACAGGGGACGGAGGGGACTGGGGAGAGAAGCTAGAGAGTAAACGCCCACAACCCAACCAGTCATCTCTTCCCCCCCCCCCATCCCTCCTTCCTCCCTCCCCGTCCCCGTTCTTTTCGACAACCCCCCGACGCATTACCGGCAACAAAGAGGAGGCCCAAATATTCGAATCCGACGTAGACAGGGTCATCGCTGCCGAGATAGATTATGAGTTGCTTGAGGAGGAGGGGGCCTGGTTGGGGGAAAAGGAGAATAAAAAGACCGCGAAAAGTCAGTTTCCTCGTTACACACCATCCGTGCCTTCCATCAACATCGACATCCCGTCACTGAGATGATCCTCCAATAAATTTCCTTCCTACTCATATCCATTCCCCCCCCTGCTTTCCTTTCTCCCCGCCTTCCCCATTTCCGCCCTCTCCACGTACCGACAAAGAGCAACGAATCGTAGGCAAACTTGTAGAGGGCCGCGATGAAGAAAGTCCACCCGAAGCTCCTACGAAGAGCCCGGGCCAGGGAGGGTTTCCGACGATGCAACTGGAGGAGGGGTGAAAGGGGAAAAGGCAGGGGAGGGACAGGGTATGAGCATGTCTTACCTCGCCTGTGAGTGTCAATGGACCGGCGCTTTCTTTAAAGAAACAAGCTTTTGGCCGTTTCATCTTTTTTCGGGTGCGCCCTCGTCTTTTCTCCCTCCTACCACGTGCTCGTCCTCGCCATCACCCTCCCAGACCTCTCGCTCCTGCTCTTCTCTTCATTTCCTACCCCCTCCTGACCGCCCTCGCGCCCTCCTTCCCCCCCTCCCTCACCTGTTCGTCCTCCCAGTTCTCCTCCAAACGTCCGCATATCACGTCGGCAGTCTCCTTAGGATGCAGCTGGTACAAGTCTTCATGGGTGAGCGGCCGCTTATACCCAGTCTTCAAGAGTCAATGGGCAAAAAGAAATGTAGAATGAATGCGTTTTCTGGTGCTTCACTCATCCTCCCTGTCGTGTGTCGTCTTCCCACCTCGCCCTCCCTCCCTCCCTCCCTCCCTCCCTCCCTCCCTTCCCTCCTCCATATCCTCTCTTCCCCTTCGTCCTTACCGACAAGATCGGATTCAGCCAGGAAAAGCTGCAGAGAGAGAATAGACCCGCCTCCGTCTCCGGTAGCGGTGGGGGCAACCGTCGGGGCCCCCCCTGTGCCCCTTCCTCCTCTCCCTCCCTCCCTCCCTCCTCTTTCTCTTCCAGGAGTAAGGGTTGGCGATACATGGCCGCGTCCACCCCGTCCGCGTTGGCAGAAATGAATGTCCGACGCCGATCGGCGTTAAACAAGACCGAGAGGACGCCCCCCAGTGTCGAAAAAATGGCGCGAACGAAGACGTTGGCCTCGGCCAGACGGATGGATTGAGCAGCGTCTGTCGAGAAGAGAGAGTCGACAAGGGTCAATGATAGAAGGAATCGTTTGAGACTCGTCTCCTCCCTTCCCTTAGTCCTTTCCTCCCCCCTTACAGGCACTGTTCGCCGCCGGCACCACGGCCAAGACTCCCACCACCAGCTGCAACGTCCAATAAGCGTGCACGACCCAGGACTCTTTCATGCCCCGGGCAACCTCCATGTGGGTCAGAGGCATGGAAAGGAAAGCTCCGCCGGCGGTGACTGCGGCCGTCCACCAGGCGCCCGGCTTGAGAAGGGAGGGGATGAGGGAGGATCGGGGTCCGACAATGCAGGAATAAAAAAGGTACGTAAGCGAGTCAAGAGCATGCTCGTAGAACAATCATTCCTAAGCAATTTTGACCAAGCATTTATTCAAGCATCCTCCCGCCTCTCACGGACCTTCACATCGCTCCCCTCGCTATCCTGAAGTTTCTGCACCGTCGTGAGCACCAGAGGCGTCAGTGCCAGAAGACAGGCTACAGCTTGACGACCCACATCCAACGAATCGTATCGATAGCCTGCGCAAATGGGAGTAATGTGACGAAAAAGGGTGGTGGGATACGTGGCCCGGGGAATATAGACAGAAAGACGTGGCCAGACAATCCAGCGAATGAATCACGCCCGGGTCCCTCCACAGGACTTTGACCGCATCTCTTGCAACATGCACGGTATCTAGCTTTCTTTACCAATTTTTACTGCCACTGAACTTACCGTAGCGCACGCGTTTCTGGCGCAGAGTGATTATATACAGTACTGGGGCTAGGAGGACGAGAAGGCCGAGAGGCAGGGCACCTAAACGCACGGAGAAACAGAAGGGAGGCGGTGAAGAAAGACAACGCTAAGGGAAACGCATCAAATTGCATACAATGAGGATAGCGTAGGAGAGCAGGGGCGTGGTGGATGCGTGCAGAGGGGAAAAGGGAGGAATCTCTGGAAGGGAAGCACTAAGATGGGGTAACATTTGTCACGTACTCAGGACTTGTTCCACGAAACAGGCATGGAAGAAGTGGGCATGTGCGTCCCAGACTTCTCCGTGACAGATTGCACTCATCGGAAATGCAAATTCTTGAAGCCCGAGGTTACGCTCTCTGCGAAAGTGCTCGGTGCCTGAGTTGACGAGGACCCAACCGACTTAAGAAGGCAGGGCCAGAGCTTCAGCGGAAACGAGAGCCTTTCTTACGTATAAAGCAACTTCTATCTTTCCTGTTTGAAAGGTGAAATAGAGCGTAGGGCCACAGTAAGTGGGCGTGAGGGACTTGCGGACGTGTGCGTGGTAGCTGCCACCACCATGGCAACAAGAGAACCTGGGGGGACATTAGGAAGATACTCCTTCCTGCCCCATCCAGGGAGGCCCTTTGTAAAATCCAAAGACGCCGTAATGAAGCGGTCTTGAAGACATCCACAGGTCTCACGAGGCATGCCTGCGAGGACGACACTGGTCGTGGTTTCGATCTATTTCCACGCTAGCGTGCCGCTGCCGGCGATGCCAACGGGGCTAGCGAGTGGGAGAGGGGGGCTACATACCCCTCCCATGTACGACAATGAGAAATACAATAAGGATCTCCAAGTTGATCTGCTCGTCTTATAAGGAAAGGAGACGATATTTTTGATCACGAGTCGTATAGTACAAAAATCTGTACTGTGTTTCATGATAATTGCACGAAGGTGCAGTCAGCAACAATGCTTACTGGCAACGTCGAGGGTAGGCTCTTAGGAAGACCCAGCGAAAAGCCTCGATTTGCTGACAAAATCGTCCACCCGTGCTGAGAAAAGCATTTAAATTATTTACAAATGGGATTTTTGGCTCCGTGCCTACGATGTTCGGTGCACCGTGTGAGCATCCGAGAATGGCCTCCACTAGATGTATCCAGAGCCCTCAAAATCTATAAACAAATGTCGTGTTTAGCTCAAATTCTAGTCGCATTCAGACTTTGCATTTTCCAATTCGTGAGGATGGAACGATTTCTATTAATAAGCATGCCTTCTGTAAATCGAGGTTATGACATAAAAGGAAAGTTGAATGCACGCTTGAACCCTTGAAGTCGCATGGTTGTACAATGAAGATATGTGAAGTTCCGACGCCAAGAACAAAATTGGATGAGCTTAAGATATATGTACGCGTGTATTGAGGCTGCGTGTGATTTAAAGTGGGATTCGTAATCATCGGAGATTCGCAGTGCTTTATTTTCCATGTCCAAATTTATTATGGATTGTGTCTTTTGTAAGTGCCAGGATGAAAATATCGCGTCGACCTAAATGTCACTCTAATTTAGCGGAAGCTATATAGAAAGCACAACCATGCTGCTGCGTTTGTAAAATGCGTGCAATAAATGCGACCGTGTATTTGTTCGAAAGTATGGACAGCAAACATACATTTCTGCAGTCCTGCCTACCTTCCCGAAAGAACTTTACCACGTCCGCAACAATATTTTTCCAATATATTGATCTATAAGCGTACATATTGTGTTGCAAAGGTTCCCGAAATAATAGCGTCCAAGAAAAAGTAGGCGTACAAGTTCGGAAGGTGGTACGAGGTTGCCGAGATGCCGTGGAACACGATGACGCCATCGTAACCATTAGCTATCTTTACTCCGGGACCGATGAGCTTAAGTTACAGAATAGCACGCGGGGACAAATTACCAGTAGTCGCTCATTTCATGCACAACCGTCAAATATAGGTCCAGAGGACTTGGCAAGGTACACTTGTCAAGTTTTCTGAAGCGCTACTTGGAAGTGCTTTTAGACTAGCAGCTCGACGGAAAGCCGTACCTTTCATTTCAGGGAGTTTAAGTGGCTTGCAACTTTTTGAAGCTTCCTCCCTGAGCTTGTGAATTCTGTCTATGCGCTTAGGGTTGCTGGCCTGTACTAGATTAAACGTCCTCACCTACAGTATCTGTTGTTTTCTGGCTCGTAAGTTGAAAATATTTCCATCTCCTCCCCCGATTCCCCTTCATGTCACGCTATTTTCCCTGTTCATGTGTTTTCCTACTATAAAGAAAGCCTCGCTAAGTCCTACACCTCACTTTACATTTGTCCTTGGTTATCCCCTGAATAGGATCGCCTTGCGCAAAAGCGGTTCCCATCATCTGTAATACAGTGAACCACCGTCTTTTGCACAGCAGCCTGCGCATCAGTAGCTGGCGCGACGGTTCCTTCTTCAGAAGAAGTGTTGGATTAGCTTTCACTGTATCGTCTCTTAACCATTCATCTTACCTCTATCGTCGCCATTCCGTATTTGTCGCAGCCCTCCTCGCTTCTTCACCGACTCGAAGCACTGCCACACCCATTCGCGTGAAACCCCCTCTTCCTCTTAACCTGCTCGCTTCGGATAAAATGACTGTTTCCACCTCCGCTTCCACGTCCTCTTCCCCTCCTACAATTGAAGCAGAGCTAACCAGTGATGTGGATCGCGCCGGTGATTATTTGCGCGCGGGTGGTTTGGTGGCCTTTCCTACCGAAACAGTCTACGGACTGGGCGCTAATGCATACCTGGAGAAAAGCGTCCGGCGCATTTTTGAGGTGAAAGGACGGCCTCTAACAGATCCTCTCATCGTTCATGTGGCGCAGATTGAGGAGGCTTGGTCGGTATTTGCCTGCGGCGGGAACACCACTTACCACCATGCGGCCAGCAATAACAGCGTCCCACATGTCGAGGTCAGGGCGGCCGAAGAGGGAAAAAAAGAGAAAGATCTGCTATCCACACTTGCCCACGCCTTCTGGCCTGGACCTCTCACGCTGGTCGCACCTGCGGCGGCTGCCATTCCCTCGGCTGTCACCGCCGAGACAGGGTGGGTAGGGGTGCGAGTCCCCTCGCACTCCTTAGCCCGCGCTCTGCTTCGGGCGGCGGCGGTCCCTGTAGTGGCCCCTTCCGCGAATCGTTTCGGACATGTCAGTCCCACAAGTGCAGCCCATGTACAGGCAGATCTAGGGGGGCACTCCTTGCTCATTTTAAAAGAGAAGGAAGAACATCATGCAGGGCAGGGAGCTTGCGAAATTGGGATTGAGTCAACAGTGGCGAAGGTCGACGCACGAGAAGGACGCGTGACGATTTTGAGGGCTGGAGCGGTCACGTGCTCGCAGTTGGAGTCCGCCTTACGAGGAAAAGGTGTAGAGGTAGTCGTCAAGGGCCACGCACGGCAGCAGGAGGAGCAGCCCAAGGCGAAGGCGCACGGGGAAGCTGGGGGGGATGTCATGCCGAAGGAACTCAGGACAGAGGACCTGACAAACGACGAAAACATGCCTCAGATCGCGCCTGGTCAATGTCTCAAGCACTACGCGCCTGATCGGCCCACGTACCTTCTATCGGCTTTGCAAGCGACAGAAAGCTGGGTTGATCTACTGGCAGGCCGAGCCGTTATTTTGGACATGGGGGGCCGTTTGCAGAGATTAAAAGGACTTGCAGCCCATTATATGGATTTGAGTGAAGCAGGAGATGTGAGAGAGGCAGCGGCGGGGCTCTTTCAAGCATTGCGATGGGCGGAAAGTGTGGATGGAGGGAAGGGAAAACTCGAGTCGGAGGAAGATTTGCTGGTGTTGATCGTCGATTTGAGAAGGGAGGGGAACAGAAGAGAAGGGCAAGGCAAAACGGCTGAGGGGGAGGACGCCGAGTTCGCAGTGGCCCTTATAGACCGAATCATGCGCTCGGCGTCAGGACAAGCGGCGGGTCCTTTCCTTGTGAGTCCATAAACCCACAAAGATATGAGGATACAGGGAAGCTTGGAGAGTAAGTATTGAAAGGGAGCGAACAAAGCATAAGTGGTGGAAGGGAGCGGTTACGAATAAAGTATGAACAAAAGGGTGTTCGTTTGAGCCCGACGAAGATGCGTGGGTGAGGGGGCAAGGAGGACACCTGCGGGCGTGCATGATAGAATGAAATGAAGCGAATACATTACCCCGTACGTTTACTAGCCTCGTGTAAAACTTCCAGGACCACCACAATATGAACGCGACAGACATCGAAGGGAAAGCCAAGAAAGTGCAGGCAAGAAGAAAAGTCAGACTTTTTTCGAGCGACATTCTGGCATAAAGCAACCGGGCCGGCACCAGTAACATTTTATACCCGAAAACGATTATAATTTTGATAAACCCTTCAGTAACCCCCTGACATGCAGCCCGTCTTCTAACGGGTTGTGTCGAGTCTGAAAAATGCAAGATTTGAAAAATTCCTCAGATCCATCCTCCCCACACTCTGCAAGATACTTTTTCGCACACTTGATTTGTTGGGTTCTTTCCACTGCCCAAATAGTCTGAAACGCCATGTTGCCACCCTGGTTTCAATGAGATGGTGTCATCATGCTAAAAAGATGGCAGAGGGCACCAGTTATCACTGGAATCTCTGCCACTTCTCCAGTGCGTGCGTCACCGAGTAGGGGTACTATTGAGGCGACAGAGCTTGCCTCCTTTGCCTCTCAACCAGCTGAGCCAAAGGTCTGTCATGCTCGGCCTTAATTTTAGTCACACAAATGTGAACCCCCATATACAGACCCATAAACACACCCTTCTCCGAAAATGAACGTTCTCCAAACGGAGCACAGCTCTATGTGCGTCGCCCACATCATTTGCTTACCATTCTCGAAGCGCCCGCGTTCACAGCACGCTTCATTTACGTATTTTTTATCCCCTCCATCCTTTATACCCATTTAAAGAGTCGTCCTGCTCACATCACATTAAATTCTCAATTCCCCGTCTTCTCCTTGCCCGTAGCCGCCGTCTTACCAGCGGGGCTTCGTTTACTCTTGGGCGCATTGCACGTTGGTGATGACCTTCTGCTCAGGCTCGTGAAGCGCCGCCTCCACGACCTTATCCGAGCCAACGACAAGGGAGGCTATAAATGAAGAGGATGCAAAAGTCAGAAGGATAACAAAATTTACATGTATATATGGTGGAATCAATAAAAAGCCGAGACTTACGACCAATTCATTCAATGGGACGTGGACGAGTAAGGATACGGATAATGGGCAGAAAAAGAACTTACAAGCGAGTTTCAGGCCACGAAAATTGGTCAGATCGAATCCGACGGAGCGCGCATAACCCTCCTTGTGGCAGAAGAAATCAGCGGCGGCTTTCCCATCGCAATCCCTGGACGGATATCAATTTTAATTAAAAGTGGTAGTGGGGAGAGAAAGATGGGAGGGTCAATGCAGGCTCACGCTTCAATTCCAGATCTTTGAGAAATTTTTATCAGGCTGTGAATTCATTCCTCGCCCTCTCCCTCTTCGTCCACATTCGTGGCTCACCAGAATTTAGCTTCAGGGTACCGCTCGAAGTGAAAACAAGCGTCAATGGGGTAGTTACCCATGAAAGCATTGCCTCCATAAGTGGCGACATAAAGGGATCGTTCCGAACCGCGGAGGTTCTGTGCATGCCGTCACGGGAAAAAAAGGTGCGGTTAGATGTATATGCGAGGAGGTAACACTTGCGTGCAGCTAGAGAGCGAAGACGTAGGGACAACAGTATTGAATATTGTGTTGATTGCCAACTTCTGCATTCTCAAGATATTTGAGAGAGTGAAAGAACGATCTATTCATTGGAGCTGGTTCCAGGATGCTCAGCGTCTTTGGGAGAGTGAAAAAACGATCCATCTATGAACCCTGATTTAAAAACCTCCAAAAAGTGGGGAGGTAGAGATCAGGGCTGCCAAACCCCACAGATGCCAGGCCTGATCTGCACGCTGACCTTGAAACACGTACCTCAGTTGCGGCGCTCGCGCAGAGCAGAACGGTGGCAGATGTGATGAGAGAAAATGTACGCATCTTTAAAGCGGCTTTGATAAATAAGAAAGGCTGATACATAAAATCATTGGTATGAGGAGAAGGGATGACGAAAGTCAGAGAAGTGATAAATAAGTGGATTCTTATGGTCTCCAAACTGACCACAAGGCAAAATTGCTGACCACTATGGCATTATGATTACCTGACACGAATCATGTGACAAGATATCTTTGCTACAGACATAGTGAAGCGACGTAAATTTTGAAGCATCCACTTATCGAGCGGAACATGCCGGCATCAAATTCAAAGGGGAGAAATTCCGTACGACTTGTACTAAGCTTAATTTTTGATCAGGATTTGTGAACGATTACCGTTTTAACCTCACGACATCCTTGCAAAAGCTGCTAAAGCACAACACAAAAAAGATAGGCAATCTATCTCATGGTTTCCATAAATATTTGAGAAATTACCCATTAAAGATTATTCAAAACAAGCAGACTTATTCATTTGATTTACTTGATGCCAAACAATGGATGGATCAAACGCCACGATTATTGTGTGAAACGAATCAGATCAGGGTGCAGTAAGTTGCTGTAGGGCGCCCCCTGGCCGCAAACAAGCGAGGGTTTGAAAGCTTGGCAGAGACCGAAATGCCCAGCACGGCTATGTCATCATCTTGTTATCAAGCACGCACGAAATGAGACTTGCTGTCAGGACATATCAAGACATTCAACGACTGTCGCGCCATAACAATATGTCGCACTGTTTTGCACCTTATGCGAGAAGTTTTCCTGCCCTTTAAATGTTGACTTTTAGTCTCCTTTCAAGCATGTGTCGTCTCGCGCAATTTTGTGCATCCGTCTTTCCCCTCCCGATTTGCTGCAAAACTCATCTATAATGCCCAATGGCATCCTCTAGAACGCGTATACATGAAAAAAATGCCGATCAGGAATTTTCACGTCACAGACGCTGTATCTGAAAGTTGTGTTCGAGGCTTGCCCAAGAGTACAACTATCAGTGGAATTTAGCGCGATTCACTCCCCCTTCGCTAGATAAAACTCGCCGTCAGATATCAAGTTGGCATGGATGGAGTTGTAATAGTTTTAACTGGTACGCACCTTATGAACCGAAGCAAGTAGTAATTTTTGTGGCAAAAAGTGAAGTGCCGTAAACATGTGCAAAATTTCGCTGCGACAGCGTCTTATATGACAATCTGGCACTCCCTCCACTTTCTAACGATGATGTACTTATTACATATCAGGTCACCTGCCTGCAAACACCCTGATCAAGCCGCTTAGAAGACCTCTTCCTCTTCTTCTTGAACCTGATGCATGGATACATGTCTATTACCATTTTCTTAACGGTTATGATGGCAAACTCTTCTTTTCGGGCTGTTGCTCGTACAAATTTACATGTGCATGTCGTAAGATCGACAGCTTGGCTTGCGCATCGTCCATCTTCAATGCGCCCTACAGATCGTCTTAAATCATCATCTATTTCGTCCGCAGCACCATCTCCCTTTTCCTCTGCTTCCCATCCATATACATCGCCCATCGTATTGGTTGCCTCCGACGTGGATGGCACCCTCCTTGGTAGCTCGCACACAATTTCTCCTCGTACAATTGCTTCCATCCGCGCCCTCCGAAAGAAGGGAATTCTCTTTGTGCCTGCCACAGGAAAATCCCGTGGGGGGGTTCGAAATGCGCTAGGCGCGTTGGGTGAGGAGCTCACCTCAAGTATGGCTACAGGCGGGGTCTATCTCCAAGGTTTGATCGTGTACAAAGGTGGAGAAGTCATTTATGAACGAATGCTAGATCCCCAAGTCGCGCTGGACGTGATGAGATTCGCACGGGAGAGAAACGTGTCCCTCATCGCCTTCAATGGAGATCGCATTCTATGTGAGAAGATGGATGCGACCATTGCGAGCGTTACACAACAACACGAGCCCATGCCGGTGGTTGTCTCCCTCGAAGCGTTTTTGTTAGCGTCGTGCCACTCCCTCGGCCCGGCTTCAGCCCCATCTTCCTCTTCAACTCCGTCAGTCAAAGTGTCTGTAACTACGTCGACTTCCTCTCCTACATCTACGGCCTCTTCTGTACAACCGCCCCCTCCCGTGGCGGCTACAGCAGTGTATGCATCCTCACGAACCCCACATTCGCCGCAGGCCCCGGCGCCCTCATCATCCAACCGCACAGAAAGCACCAGCATCCATAAGCTTATTCTTCTCGGCCCTCCTCCCCTCATGGCATCCCTTCGGCCTGCCCTCGAAAGCTTTCTGGGGCCAAGGGCAAGCATCACCAAGGCCCAAGACGACATGCTAGAAGTCCTTCCGTCCGGCGGTTCGAAGGGATTGGGACTGAGGAAGCTGCTGGAAGCTTTAGACGTGCCAACATCCAGAATTCTTGCCATAGGAGACCAGGAGAATGATTTAGAGATGCTGAAGATGGCGGGGACGGCGGTAGCCATGGGGAACGCGCCCAGGCACGTGAAGGCAGTTGCGGGTCATAGCACTCGCTCGAACGACGAGGATGGCGCCGCCAGGGCCTTTGAACGATTTTGCTTGCAGGAATTGTCTGGCTTGATATGAATGATGCTCGAAGCATTGATTGGAAGCTTTTGTGGTTTGTGTATATTAGCGGGGCAAAAAGACTTGTGTTCTGAACATAGAAAAAGGGAAAAAGCGTCCAACATCTGCTAGCCAGAAATGGCGCCAGTCGCAAAACTGGAGGTCTTCACTGATTCTTGGGGCATCAAAAGATGTCCTTACACTATCCATGCTTCCTTTGTCCCGTTTAGCTATGTACATGGGGGGGGGGCTCCCCACACTTTCTCGATGCGTCGCTTCTTCGCTTTTACAGCCCTACCATCTTCAGACCTCTTTCCGCCCTTAGTCAGGTACATTGTCACCTGTTTTCTCACACTCTTCTATCACTTCCTTGCCTCTGGCCCCTCCCCCCCCCAAGTGATCGAATTCCAGAGCTCTTGCCTGACCCCCCTAGTCCTTGCGCTCAGGTCCATCACTTGTCGCAAAGCTTCCACTCGTGTTGGTTCTTTATCCTGCCCCCCCCCCTCCTTCAGCCAATGCTCACAACAGGCAACGATGACAGCGGAGATCACAGCTTGAACCTCTTTGTCAGGAATTGACTTGCTAACGCCACAGACCTCGGCGAAGGGCAAGGCGAGCCGGTCGTCGAGGAGCTGGAGGTGGCCTGCGAAGGGAAGCGTCAACAGAAGGGGGTAGGAGATCACGGATGACGAAGGCGATTGCCCAGAGGACGCGGGAAACGGATCGGAACCGGCCGTGGGAGAAGTCCTGACGATCGCAAGTCTCCCGACGTCACTGCCCGCCCCGCGGCTGCCAGCGGTGGAAGCTGTGTGGTCGTCCACAGCAGCAGCTGCAGCATAAGAGCTGGCTTTGAAAAACGCCCGGGCGTCGCGCTCGGGGGGGGCACAGATATTGCGGTTAGGGCTTCTGTAATAAGAGTTAAGGCCAGTGAAAGGTAGGGAGACGATGACTACCGGTAGGCGTGGGGGAAGGCACCGGAGAAGGGGAAGACATGAGGAAGTGGGCCCATGAAAGGACGAAGGGAAGGCTGATTGACATGAAGAGCGTAAGGTGGAGGAGATAAAGGGCTGGAGGGTGTTGCTGTCGCCGCTGTTGCTTGGAACCATGTCGTTGAGGCGGGCCGTACTACCTCCCGCGTCATATGTTTCCTGCTCATCAACAGGATCAATCAAAAGAAGACCTCGCACTTCATGAGTCAACGGTGAAGATGCTAGGCGGGCGGCGACGCGGACAGCCACCGCCGCCCCTCGTGAATGTGCTACGAGAATAATTTTTCTGGGTGAGTGTGCTGGTGTCACATTGGAGAGCTGACGCACAATGGCTTCAATCTCTCCATCATCTCCTGCACGATCTGCAAAGATTTTGACGTTTTCTTTCCTGAGGGAAGGAATGAGGGTGAGGAGATCACGTTGATAGGTGCTGTACTGGTTGGCGGGGATCCTGTAGCCGCCTAGGACGCTGATGGCTGACGAAATATCCACAGCTTCGTTTGTAGAAGAGACATCTGGAGCTATTTTAATGTCCAAAGGTAAAGAATGGGGAAGAAGAAGTCCAAAACTCGTGCTGCATGCAGTGAAAAGGTTTGTGACGGCTTTGCCACGGGTCAAAAGCGAGGCAGCAGGTATCCTCCACGCACAAGTCGAAGTTGATGGATAATAGAAAAGAACGACAGGGAACATGCTCAGTCCCAAAATACGGTGGAACCGATCCTTTCGTCTTGATCGAGGTCGTCTCATTGTACTGTGTTATGTAGAGAGACGCATTACGACAACAATGGATGCGAACGTAGCTAAATTAACGTCTGGTCAGGCAACAATTCCATGATTTCCTCCAAAATGTCCTGCTACCTTCTTTGAATTACACCCAGATGTGCTTTCTGAACATTGCCCCCTAAAAATATCCGGAAAGTCCTCCAATTACTTGTGTTGAATGAGGCCCCCGATAGCGCAATTCAGACCTCTGGCATGCGGAATCGGATCTCCATTTACTGGATAATCATGGCACCCACACTCTCCGAACACATTTGCGAAATTACCGACCTTTATTCCACGCGTCGCACTCAAAGCATCGATATGATTTCATCCATGTGTCCCGTTGCGGAAATCTATTCAATCACTGCCCTTATGCGGACACAGAGCGGTCGGACGTGCCACAGTGTTTTGTGACATCAGCTTCAGATTCAGCGAGGCAGCAACACGCTTTTGGTGTTTAGCCACCATTGACACATTCCTCGCGCCGTCACTCACAACTTTGTGGAAGAATGAGTGCACAGTTGCTCGACCACCAGGGAAAAGACGGGAAATCCTACGGGGCGGTGGCTATCTCCTCGCCGCGCGTCGATCTCAACAGCAAGGAACTGTCTTGGCAACCTTCTATTCGTGACTTACCCGCGGCTCGTCCCACGCGAACCAACAGCTGCGACAACGCTGGCAAGGCATTCACAGCGTCAGGCATGCCTCCTGTTACACCGGCAGCAGCCTCGCCGCAACGTATTCCACGGGTAGGTGTTTTTGTTTCCATGTTTTTTCTTTGTTGCCGCTCACCTCCTTTCGCTTTGATACGATATCACATAAACCCGTTATCAATTTCAAAGCTTGTTGACGGCGCCTTGAAAAGGAAGACAGATGATCCTTATCGTAGGACTCTTTCACTCCTTTATCCTCTACTCAGACTCACCGCTCTTGGGTCACTGTTCGTGTTGTCTCGGGCATCATAATGTTTTCGATGATCGGGAACATAATACGGATCGAACTAGAAAGATACATCATCCAGCTCGATGTAAGTACCGGAAGAAGAAGAACGTAACGTCTTATACTGGCGTGCTGGATGTACGACTGTTGTAGAGGATGTTTGCCCAGCCATCGGACCAGGCAGTGGAGGAACCGGACTCGGGCCGTGGAGCTCGCAAGGCGTACCTCCCCGTCGACTGACCTCAGTGCACACCCCTCTTGTATTTCTAGGCGAGGCAAGGGAATATCAAAAGCTCCATGTATCCCTCCATCCTAGCGAATCTCCTTGGCTGTTTTATCATGGGTCTCCTCTACGAATGCAGGGTAAGCCTATCTTCCTCTTCACGTCTCGCCATTGCGTCCTCAGGTTTTGTCCGGCGCAACATCTCTCTCCTCCTGGGACACGAGAATTTCATCTCGTGCCAAAATAGTGCCCTTGGTGGGAAGAGGAAGGCGAAAGGTGTCATGACTGCATTTGTCACAAAGTGGCCCCCCTTATCCCCCTCCCTTGCGCCCGCAGGGTTTCCTGGAGAGGCATCTGCACGGCATCCTTTCCTTCCCCAGCATGCCCGACGCTTCCTCCCTCTACGTGGCCATCACCACCTGGATGTGCGGGAGCATTACCACCTACAGTGGATGGAACAGCGGTCTGGTCCCTGCCCCCTCCCTCTCTTGCCCCACCCATTCCGGGCCTCACTCATCGCCCCCTTTTTTTCTCCCCCTTTTCTGACAATCGTCTGCAGTGGTTGCGCATCGCATGGTCTATGACTCCTTCACCTATGGTATCTTCAGCGCCATGACCGGTGCTGCCACGGCCTACCTGGCCTTACTCCATGGTCCGTCTCCCCTGGCCCCGCTGTGCCCTTCTCCCCTTCCCCTTTCCTCCCTCCCTCCCTCCCTCGCCCCCTTCTTCTCAACCGCATGTGTCTCCTCGGCCCCTCGCTTTTTCTTTCCCAACCCATGTGGTGACCCTTCCTTCTTCCCCTCCGCCCCTCTGTTCACCTCGCTTTTTTCTCCTGCTCCTCTGAATCCTGAATACCCCACCCCTCCATCTTTGCCCCTCGCTCTCCCCTGATCCAGGCATGGACGTGGGTAGTGGCTTTACCCGCGTCCAACTCGTCGAGGACACAGACAAGAAAGCCTCGCCTCCCTCCCTCCCTTCCCCCCCCGCGGACAGCTCCTCCCTCTCCATTTCTGTGGCGTCTCCCCGTCAGTCACCCTCTGGACTGACACATCTACCATCCGGCCCCCTTCCGGAGGAGGAGGAGGAGGGAGATTTGCTTGAAAGGGACGAGGAAGCCGCGGCAGAGGAAGAGGAGAGCAGGAGGAGGATGTGGGGTGCGCGTCGTGGGAAAAGGAAGGAGAGGAGGAGTGAGGAAGGGAGAGGGACTTCTGGCGGTATGACGTGGTTGACGGCATGGCTGGGGCTTAGGAGGGGGAAGGAGGATGGAGGGAGTGAAGAGGAAGAGGAGGAGGAAGGAGGAGGAGGGGAAGAGCGAAGAAAAGAGGATGGAAAGGTGCTCTTTGGCCCGCTGCCCGAGGAGTTGGTGCGTGAGGGTGGGAGGGAGGGAGGGAGGGAGGGAGGGAGGGAGGGGAGGGGGGGTAGGTACGGAGGAGGCCGTTCAAATCGTAGGTGTGACTAACATGTCGTGGCATTTGCTTGTGAGGACGGAGACCTTGGATCGGCATTCTTTCCTCCCTGTCATCCGCTTCTCACTTCCTCTTCTTTCCGTCTATACTTCCTCACGCCTCGACTCCGTGGTAGGCTGCCTCTGGCGCGGCTTTGATGGAACCGCACAGGTATATATCACCGGAGCGAAAGCCGGTGTCACGGCCTACCAACTCTGCCTCTTCGGCGTCTAGCTACTCCCGACCGCTGGGGCAACAGGGGGGAGGGAGGGAGGGAGGGAGCGAGGCAGGGAGAGAGGGAGGAGGCATCCAAATGCAGGCCCAGCCTCCAGGGTTCAATCCCACTGAGGACGGTAGGAGGGGCCCGGGAAATTCAGTCGGGGGAGGAGTCACACAAGGGTTATGATATGATTTATGCGATTCCTCTGCCTACCTGCCGTCCGGCTGCACTCAACGAGACACTCCCGGGCACGCCTTCTCATGTATTTCGTCCCCTCCCTTTTCCCCCCTTTCTCCATCATGCAGATGACGACGTTGAGTACTCAATCTATAGTTTCCGGAAACCGAACCAACGTGATGCGTTTATTCTGGGTGAGGTGTCATTTTACACAGCTGGGGCCGCCGGATTGTTAGCTCTGGCAGCCATCAAAATCAAGACGTAAGGAGGGGAGGAAAGGGTAGGCAGAGGGAAAGGAAAAAAAGAGGACTGTAAACCTGTCAATGGACTTGAAACACTCAGCAACTCAAATTCCTGCGCGTTGCGCCTCGATTTGCAACCCTTTCTCCTGCCTTGTTTTCTCGCTTACTCTAGCGTGGAGTCCTCAGAGATGGAACCGCGGTGGCTGTCTTGTCTCTTCGCCCCTCTAGGCGCAGCGTTGCGTTACGTGCTCGCTTTAGCCATGGCGCAGCATCCGGTAAGATAGATAGATAGGGGAAGAGCAGGGAGAGGTAAATTGACAGAGGTGACGGACGTGGGAAGCAAGTACTCGACACCAAATTCGCTGCTGACACTTCCCCCCCCGCACTTTTCTTCTCCCTCCCTTTCGGTGCAGACCATTCACCTTATCCTCCCTCACTTCCCCCTTCAAACATTTACCGCGAATGTGTTGGGGGCGACTCTTTCGGCCTTTTTTGATACTATCATTCCTGTCCTCAAGGACAGAGGAGATGGGAGGACTGCGCATATAATGAAGGCGCTCCTGTAAGGGGGGAAGAGAACGGGTTGGAGGGAGCCAGGGGAAAGACAGGGAAGGAGGACCAGCGGGGCTTGAGTCTGAGCTTACATGCCACTGTGCTTTATTTGAAGAGGCTCAATCATGAGGAGGGGAACCAGCTGGCGAATGTGAGCGATGTTTAACGGCCTTCTACTCTCCATCCCTTCCCCACTTTACCATCTAGTGTTGGCTTCGATGGATGCTTGAGCACATATTCTACTTTTGCGCTCGAGCTACACAAACTGCCTACGCAGCATGCTTGGAAGTATGCCCTCGCCACTTTCATTACGACACAGGTGACGATGCAGGGGGAAAGAATTGAAGGAGAAGGCGAAGGGGAAGTATTGGATTCATTCTTTTGCCCTACTACGCGCTCCCAAGTCGTCAAATTGTTTTGTTTAATTATGCTCGATTGCATGTGTACACCCGACAGGCCATTGCCCAGCTCATCATTGCAAGCCACAGGTGGGGGTGGTGGTGACAGATGCGCGTCTAGTAGTGCGGTGGAGGAAAGTCGGAGGAATGAGATTGGAAAGGAAGAGAAATAGTAGCTGCTCTTGTCATGAAGAGGAACAAAATAAGATTAGGTTCAAAATGTACCCCAAAAAGTATGGAGTAGAGACGCCTGGCATGTGGATGTGTGATGACAACAATGCATTCGAAATCAAAGCCCGGGACTGAGCTGTTATTGCGCGAAAAAAACGCAGACACTTAGTGGGCCAATCCAACAAAAACAAGAAGCAAGGAGATTTGTGTCTCTTGTACCCTCGCAATTCTGAGTAATGGCGTCCTGAGGCTCACTTTTCTTTTCTCTCATCCTCGTCGCCCGGTTCGTTTTTCCCACGTCACGCACATCACTCTTCAGCCATAACAACGGATGGGGTCCGTGCATCCCTTTGCGGCACTTTGCGCCGAGCCAAACCTCCCTCCTTTCCACAGGTAGCCCTGGTGGCTGACCTCCGCGGGCCAGAACACTTTTGCCGGTTTAATTTCCGTCATGATGGGCCGTGAATACTTCTTTTGTTCAATCTCGCGGCTCTGTAGGGCAGCTCGGTGTTGCGCGTCTGTGTGGGTGTAGATGCCCGTCCGATATTGCGTGCCTTCGAAGAGGAGGAGAGGAAGAGGATGAAAGAGGGTTTAAACGGTGACTAGCGATTTCTATACCTTGTTGTAAAGGTTTAGCTACTGATCCCGCTCATCTACTCAAATACGGTGGCAGAAAATTTCGAAGAGCAAGCTTCCCAACACCGGGGAAAATCCAGATATTTTTCTATGGTCTGCCACCAAGCGCTCCTGTGTCAGGCAGAAGTCGTGACCTCTCTTACCTCTGTCACCCCCTTGGCCATTTTCCATCAGTGGGTCTATGCGTTCCCAGAATACCTTCAGCAAGTCCTCGTACGAGACTTCGTTTGGTTTGAAGTGCACTTGAATGGCCTCTGTGTGACCCGTTGTCCCGCTGCATACTTCCTGATACGAGGGCTCTGCCACGTGACCCTGCGTGTATCCCGTTCCAGTCGCGACAACACCTGGAACACGCTGAAATGCAAGCTCGATGCCCCAGAAGCAGCCTCCAGCGAAAGTCGCAATAGAGTGACCGTCCACAGAGAGTGCAGGGACGGAATCAGCCAGAGCAGCCTTGCTAGCCTCAAGTGCTAAGCCGCTCAATTGCTGATACCAAGCATGGCGCATGCTGAAGGAGTGATGTTATCACCTGGACGAAAAAAAATCAGTACTGAAATGGCAGGGGTCTGTCCGTCAGAGTAAATCTCACAGCCTCGTCTCCGAAAGTAGTCTGCTATATGGTCAAAAACGATAGATGATGAAACACATGCCTGAGTACAGACATGAGTCTCATCACGGACATGCAAGATAAGTAATGCTTGCGTGGCCGAGGAGATGACGTCATTTTCAGCGATCTTCAATGCCGGTGTTCCACGTCCATTGGGCCCTTATGCGCAACCTTTTGAACTCATTCACACCGCGACACTCTACACGTGCTGAACTGAATCATCACATTGTTTGCAGCGCAACATCTTTGATATCTTTCTAGAGCGCTAAATCTGCGTTGATTGCTCCTCCTGCTTGAGACAAATGCGATACCTCACCGACATCTGACATTGAGTTTCTCTACTAGACAAGGAAATTCGAACGTGAAACTTCGATAACGCTTGCGACAAATAGGGGAGCAGCTGGCGTTGTGATGGACAACCAGCTAAACGGGTGCGCACCGTGACGAGGCCTACTTTACACGGTGTAAATTATAGCCTGTACTATTGAATTCATGCTATTAAATTTCAAAGTATTTCTCCCAAAATTGGCATCCGTAAGAGGTTTCCTGGTAACAAGAGGTTTCTGGTAACAAATCGTTACACAGCTTCACAAAACTAACCGGGGACCATGTCTAGCATCAAAAAAATGCCCAACGTTTTTACTTTCTACAAAGACACGGATCGTTGCAGGAAAAGAAAACCGTGGACCGCCTTTGTAGTAGTAGATGTATACAAAATTAATTTTCGTATACCATGGTACTATGCTGTGTTTGTCATTTGGTAGACAGTGCTTAGTTCCGGATTAAATTTATTCTTTCGAAATCTCACGCTTGTATGGTGCTTCATTCGTTGAGCTTGGTCATCGCAAGCAATGGCTCCATTGAAATGATCTTGTAGTTGCTTCGTGCCGTATCTGTTTAAACAGAATACGATAACTTTTTCCCCCCGGGTGAGGTTAGTTTAGGTGCCAGAATGCGAGCTATTGTGCTTCACTCTACCCTCCTTTGGCCTCAGTGTCCCGTGCAAGAACTGTACAGATGCATCCACGTCCGTATAAACAACCCTGCTTTCTCATTCTCATCGCTGGCATCACGAATGGTTTGTGCACAGGTAGCTTCCTTCATGATAGCCCTCTTTCATCGTCAATGTCGGTGAATTCGCGAATCAGCGCAGATGTAACCTACCTGAAGTCATAGCATATTTCCAGAAAATCATTAATTTTTTTAAATGGCAATGCTTTCTACGCCGTTACTTTGCGCTTTCGGAGATGAAAATTTAGGACGACCTTAGAATCAAATTTGACGATGTCAAATAGCTTTCGATAGCGAATAGATTTTCGAAAACGCACCCAGTATTAAGTAGGCTTGCAGAAATTGGAGAGGGGAGGTTTTTGAAACCAGCCAGTTCGAGTCTTGCGGTCTTTATGGCTTCTTTGTGTCGATTTAGAACATGAATGGTGTCCATAGCCGTAAGTCAAGGTCACAGAATTCTTTTCATTGCTCTAGCAAGGGATGGTGTTATCATCTATTTCCTGAAAGGTATCAAAGCGATGGAATGAATAAGCCAAGAGCAACGGGAGACTCGCTCGGCGAACATAGGGCAGTAGGCCCAATACATGCAGCGGGTCCTTGGGGACCATGGATGGGCTCTCACGCTCAACCTCTATCTATCTTCTACGCAAATTTTAATGAAGGATACTCAGAAGGAAGAGGAAGCGGCGCAAGAAAGGGAAAAGGCGGACACATCAGATCAGCATCAGGAGTCAAAGCAGTATGCCTTACCCTTGCTTCAGACGGATCTCTATCTTTGTCTCCTTCATGTATTTGTCTTTCTTGTTCTTGATTCCATCGGTCTATGCTCTCTATGAAGAGGATGCTGGAAAGTTTGACTGGCATAAGTCATTATTGGGCCCCGTGTGCCACGCACGGTTCGAGGTATGAAAAATGCGAATGGAGTTGGAGCAAGGAGGAAATCAGCAACGTTTCACCGATGGTTCAACTTAAACCATCGGATCTCTTCGTTTCTTCATCGAACCTTGCTATCTTTTACAGGGCAATTTTCTCCTACTCGCCTCATCCTACGGAGCAGTGGCTGTGGCCTCCGCTAGCAATTCGGACGGCTCTTTGCTCTGGCGACAAGTCATCCCGCTCGCCGCCCCAGTCGCTCTTCCTGTGCGAGACGGAGGAACAATGGACAAAGACGAAAAGCCAGCAGTGAAGGTCCTTGAACTTGTCCTGCATCCGCAGAAGCGCTTGGTCATGGCCTTGACTCGGTTAGTTCCGGCGAAGCAAAATGCTACTTGTCTTTTTATAGGAGGGGTAAATTCGTGAATGGCAGGGATGGGGGGTGGTTGCCTTTATGAAACTGAATTCATGTTTTTGTCGGTTGGTCTTTGTTTATTTTTAATCAGGTGGGATTCACCCCCCTCACTCTTTGACCCGTCTCCTAACCTCCTCCCTCAGCGACCCGAGTACCGCTGCCCTAGGCGTGTGGGCGTGGCGCCTGTTTGATGGAAACCTAATGTGGCATGTCACCGTCCCCGCTTCCGGTGTACCGCTCGGGAAAAGGGTTAAAGCGAAGGAGGGTGGCTTTCTCGCCCTCTTCCCTGATACGGTTGGCGCGGTCGATGGAGAGACCGGCGAGATTTACTTCCTGTCAGCTGTTGATGGGACGCGCATTTGGAAGGCTCCTGCCATCGAGCTTATGGCTGTTACCGGGGTTGTACCGGTGGACGGGGGCACCGAGAAAGGCGTTGTGGTGGTGGGCGAGGGTAGCGATGGGAAAGCCCAGGCGTTCTTGGTCCGCCTCGGGGGGGAGAAGGCAGAGAAGATAAAAAGTGTGAGCTTCTCGGATGGTGGCTTGATATCGCATGGGTGAGTGGTTTTGAAACGAGAACAAGAGACTCCTTCTGAGAAAGAAAGGGGAGGCAGCGTTGAGAACCCAGGCGTCGTGCTGCGGACCATACCGTCTGACATGAGCGTAGCAGGCTCTGCATTTTACCGTCGTCATACGTCTCACTCTATGTCTCCTTCCCTCTCTTCATCCCTTAACAGTACTCCCTCGCTTCATGCTTTTGCTCGCCCTGCACCCGCACGGAGCCTCGCGCTCCTCCTCCTTTCCCCATCTTCCTCCTCCTCCCTCTCCGCTGCTGACATGCAGCTCGTCAATCCCTCCGGCGCCAAAGCGACCCCGCACGGCGTCCTCTCCTCCCCCATTCCCTCCTCCCACCCCTCATCCCTCAGCGCCTCCTGCCTTGTCCTCTCGGACTCCGGAGCTGTCGTTGAGATCACCCTCACGCAGGGGAAGTTTATGCAGCGCCTGGTCGCCCCCCCGTCCTCCCCCTCTCTCCCCCTCGCTTTCCGCGCGGGCCCGTACGTCCTGCGGGGGGAAGAGAATCAGGGACCAGGAGTGGAAGTATTTCGGGTCGTGGACGGGCAGTCAGTGGGGAGGGTGCGGGGCAGACGGTCCTTACGGGGCCTCTGGGCCGGTATAAGAGGCGGCTGGAGGGAGGAAGAGAAGGAGGGGAGGGAGAGCGATCTGCTGGTGTTGACGGTCGACAAGGCAGAGACCTTGGTGCTCCAGACCATGGATGACCGTTTAGGTGCGTGGGATGAGCGCGGGGGCAAGGGAGGAGGCAGGAGGGGGCAAGAGAGAAAGGAGGAGAGGGAACTCGTGAAGGAGATAGGCATGGGCTCTTCTTTTCTTGGCCCCCGAGTCTCTCCTTAGTTTCTCAAAGTCAAACCTTTTCCCTCCTTACCTCCCCCTCCATCCTCCCTTCCTCCTCGTCCAGTCTGGCTCCGGGAAGAGTGTCTTGCAGACGTCGCACAGGTCTTGATCGTCGACCATCGACCCCCGGCGGAGGGAGAGAAAAGGAGCGGGACAGAGGACGTCACCGAGGCACTGGCAACCTCGCCCCTATTCGAAAAACTGCTGGTAAGGTTCTGACCCGCAGAGCGCCTGCGATGTTCAAAGTTTGGTCCTTACCTTTCATTCCCCTCTATCTTCCCCATCTTCCCAGAGCGTCGTGCTCCCGCCCTCCCCTTCGTCTTCCTCTGTCCGAGACCCGCACTTTGGGCTGACCAAGATCCTCCTCTTCCTCTGCGCACCTTCCTCCCGGCTCATCGCCCTCCTTTCCTCCCACGGCGGCACCATCCTCTGGACGCGCGACCTCTCCTCGGTCGAAGGAAGGGAAGGAGCGCGGTGGAGGATGGTGCAGCAAGGAGACGAGGTGCTTCTGGTGGGCGAAGGAGGAGAAGGGCTGGCGATTTGGTTGGACATTGCCACCGGTAGGAATCGGGAAGTGGAGGGAGGGAGGAAGGGTAGGAGTAGAGACATGGGGGGGAAGATGGAAGGTGCATTCTGACGCTCCCTCCTTAAATTTCTGCGACATGCTCTCCGCTCCCAGGTCATGAGATAGCCTCACTTCCCACCTTGGGACTGACCCCCCCAGCCCCCTCCTCCTCCCTCCTCCTCTTCCCCATCGCGAGCTCCTCCTCCTCCTCCTCCTCTCCTCCTCGTCTGCTTCTCGTGGACACCCGCAACGCCACCGGTCATCGGGCTCGATTCCTCGACGGGTCTTCCTGTGCCCAAGGCGCCTTGGGCGGGAGGGAGGCTGGGACCGAAGAGAGTCTTGGGGATCGCCCTATCTTCTATCACACCCTCTCAACCCCTTCCTCGGGTGGCGCCTCCCTCCAGACCTACCGCCTTTTCAAGCCCTCTTCTGCGCCTTCTTCCCCTAACTGGCCCTTTCAGTCTGCTGTTGTCGGCGCTTCCTCCCTCCCCAGTCCGAGCGAGCTCGTGGTCAGCACTGCCTACCCGGATGTTCGTGAGACCATGACGGCTCCCTCCTCTCACCCATTGGGGGACGGTGCGCTCCTGCTCAAGTATTTGAATCCTTACCTGGTGGCCCTCGCCAGCACCGCCTCTCTCCCTCCATCCCCTCCTCCTGCCTCCCTCAATGTGACCAGAGACGAGGGCAGCCAAGAGGGAAGGAGGCAGGGAGGGGACGAGGGCGGGAAGGAAGTCTCGACCCTCTATGTTACCTTGATGGACACTGTGTCGGGGAGGGTGCTCTATCGTGTGTCACATTTTCACGTCCAAGGGCCGGTGCGGATGCGGCTGGTGGAAAATTGGCTAATCTACTCCTATTGGAATTGCAAGGTTGGGAGGGAGGGAGGGGTTGGAGGAAGAGTGGGCGGGAGGCAGGAAGAGAGCAAGTGGTGTTTCCATTTCTCCCCGTCATGTTGCTGCTAGTTTGACCCCCAACGTGTGCCAGAGTACGTCTCAGAGTTGCCTTCTTGCCTTCATGACTCATATCTTCCCCTCTTTCTTTCTCTGTCCCTCATGCAGGCGCAGCGTACTGAAATCGGCTCGATCACCCTGTATGACGGCTTCATTGACAGGAAAGGCCTCGGACTGTTCACCTCTCCCGAGTTCAAAGAACGGTGAGAGGAAGGGCGTCAAGAGATGAGAATTTCGTATGCCGGGTAATATCCTGCTCACGTCGCCTTTCCCCTCCGTTCTCACTTCCTTCCCGGGCCGCAGAACCTCTTCTTTCGACGGCGACGCTTCTCCAGTCGCCCTCCAACAGACCTTCCTCTTCCCTCATCCCATCCTGACGCTGGGCAGCACCCTAACGGCCCGCGGGATCACCACCAAAGCATTGCTGGTCGGTTTCGAACCTGGACAGATTCTCCTTCTTGACCGTCGCCTCCTGGACCCTCGTCGTCCCACTGCCCTTCCGCTTTCCAAAACAGAGAAGGCGGAGGGTCTCTTACCCTACGCCCCGCATCTCCCTGTCCTCCCTCCTCATGTCGTGACGTACAACCATACACTCCACGGCCTACATTCCCTATACACCGCCCCTTCCTCCTTAGAATCCACCACGCTTCTTCTCGGCGTGGGGGACCTGGATTTGTACTTCACGCGTCTCTATCCCAGTCACAAGCCCTTTGACTTATTGCCGGACACCTTCAACCACGTATTGGTTTCCTTGGTTTTGCTTATTTCCGTGGTAGGGGTCGGATTTTTGGGGAAAGCGGCCCAGGCGAAAGCTCTGCGAGAAGCATGGGCTTGAGGGAGTATGGCTGCACGATGGCTATTGTCCAGCTTTGCTGTATGTCGGTAAAATTAAACTTGTCGGCGTACAGTACATGCTTTCAATTGCTGTGGACGATCTTGACATGCCACGTGCATGCTCTTGTTGCTTTTAATCGTTCGAAGTGCTTCGCCTCGCTAAATTTGGGGCTGTTGGAATGTACATGTATATTTTAAAAAAATTATTACAACTCGTTGAACACCCCGACATTCAGATATAAGAGTATTTCGCCCTCAACGTACTGTGGGGGAGGGGCGAGACGTGGGTCACGGATGACGCGTGGCAGGATTTTTTCCGATTTTTCATACGTCCAACTTTGAAATTTTCTCCTAACCGGCAACTATCATATTTATATTCTATATTTCATCATGGGTCCCACGTATGAGAACACCGAAACATTACATTTATTTTATGGTGTCAAGTAGACGATCGCGAGGCGTACATTGCTCTCACTTTTGGCAGAGAACTAATCATGTCTCTCGAGCATTGACTACCATCGTAACCACCCACAAGATAGCTTTTATGGTCTCCTCTTGGCCGCAACGAGTTGGAAAGAAATCATATATTTACTCAAAACATGGCAAATTTCGTGATAAAATCGTCAGAAATTGAGAAAAAGGTGTATACTGGGTGACCTAATAACCTCCCGGAAAGCAAAAATGTTGCGTCTTGGACGATGCAAGTAAATGAGAAACAAAATCTGCCGAAATAGGATTTCTCCCCCTATCGGGTAGTATTTTTTCGATTATTTATTACGGTAGAGTCTCACATGCCAAAAATTTCAGATGCCGAGAAAAGTGTGTTTTTACTTTTTGTACTTATCTTGTGGCCTGCAGGCAAGAGTACAGATCAAAAATTGTCCCCTTTTTGACTTGTGCTCCACTTATCTCATACATAATTGCACACCTTTTCGCTTTGTATTTCACGTTGATATAAAGATGTAGATTACGCAAAAGGTTTTTTTACGCCAGCCTCCGTATTGATTATTTTGTTCGACCTCCATACTCGCTGGATAAGCGCTTGGGCCGTCGGTAGGAAAGGCGAGGGCGCCAGCCACCCAAAGATACTTCACAACGCACGTTCCGTCTTGAGTTGCCTTAAACGCAGCCCTGCTTGTGAGGAGGCTACAAGGTGTAATCTGCATTTTGAAACTACTGTTTGTAAATTGCGTTTATTTTTCTTTTTTTACGTCATGTGTCAACAGGGCATCAGCTCGCAGGGCTGAGGCTTGTCAAGTATGGGCAAAAAAAAAAATCATGTAGGAGCCGCCCTGCGAGAGCTCGAGGAGTCAAAGGATGCAGGAACCTTAAAATTAGGGGAAGAGGAGGACTTTGAAAACGAGAATAGCAGTGAAAATATGTCAGAGAGCGACGACCACGAGGAGGACACGGTGGAAGGAGAAGAGGAGGAGGAGGAGGTAGACGAGGAGGAGGAGGAGGAAGAAGAGGAGGAGGAAGAGGAGGAGGAGGTACAAAATTTAGAAGAGGACGAAGAGGTGGAGGAGGAGGAAGCAGAGGAGGAAGCAGAGGAGGAGGAGGAAGAGGGGGAAGAGGAGGAGAAGGAGGAGGAGGAAGAGGAAGAGGTTGAAGATGAAGAAGACGAAGAAGAGGACGAAACGGAACACTTAGAGACTAAAGGGGGAAACAGTCGACCTACCAAACGAGGGCGGTGAGTGGTTCCATATAAATTTGAATATGGATGCAATGTGGCTCTATGTGCCGCTTGTATCCCGTGGAGGTGCGCGATGGATCACATTATAAGCTCCCTCTGTGTCCTGTACCTCACACCAACGAAATTTTCCTTTATGTGGCCTTTCTTGGCGACAATAGGTATGCCCCTCCCACCGAAGAGGAAGAGAGGTACCTTCGTCAGCCCGAAGCTTTTTTCTGTCGAAATCTCCTACGCCTTCAAGTACAAGAAGTTTTGGCAGACGTGCACCTATCGGGATGGAGCGAGCAAAGAGGGAGCCCTACCGCAGTCAGGAAGGCCTTAACGAAATTTTTATTCACGTTGCGAGAGACACTGTTGGGGATGAAAAGTGGGGTAAGTCAGAGAGGGCAATGGACACAAAGTAGAGTGCAGTGCAAAGTGCGGTTCTGGTCGACATGCCCTCCTCTCCCCTTTCCTTACCTGCCAACCTCTCTCTTCTTCCCCTACCTGGTCTCCACCGCCCTTGGCCTAGACCATGCCTGCGGAGGCCTCCGACCCCGCTTTCCCTTTCACCCCACACGTGCAATGGCCCGAGGCCTCGTCGGCCCCCCTTCCCTTCCTCCCCCCCCGTCAAGTGGAGGTGGTAGGTTCCTTCATGCTGGGCGCTTTGAGCAAACCGGTACGTGAGGAGTCCGGCGGGGAGGAATGGATGGAAAGGAGGGTGGGGGAGGGAGTGGGGGGGAAAGCCGTCGACGTGGCCCCTTAAGCTTGCTTCCTTTGACTCCTCTTCCACTCTCGCGGCTCCGCTTTCCTTCCCTCCAGGCGCCCTCCGTGGACGTGGCTGTGGAGGTTCCAGCCCCCACCTTCGGTCCTCGCTGGCCGTGGTTGAATTACCGGTATCACAACAGACGGAACGCCTACTTGGCCCATATCAAGCAGGAGTTGGAGGGAGTTGAGGCCATCAGGTGGGTAGAGAGGGATGAGGGTTGGCGCCGACCTCTCGCCCCGGACCTCCTGCACGTTTTTGTGGACCGAAAGCTGGTTCTTTTCACCATGCCTTCCCTTGTGCTACCTTTGAGTTGCTCCACTTCTTCGCCTCTCTTCCTCCCTGCCTCCTTATGCGTGTTGCAGATCGATAGAGGTGGAGGCCTTCAAGGGGGACCATCGCCGGCCTCTCCTTGTCCTCACGCCGACAGCCCATACTGGAGGAGTCAAGTGAGGATGGAGGGAGGAGGGGAAGGGGAAGGAGGGCAGGGAGGATGGAAGATAGGTAGCAATCAGGCTTATCGTCTTGGTATTTCCAACAGGGTGCGACTTTGGCCTTCGATTGCCCTCGTCGACGATGTGAAGGGTGGGGTCAACAGCAAGAAGAAGGGGGCAGGAAAGAAAGGAGAGTCTGAGGACGCAACGAAAGGAGGGGGCATCATGGAGCGACCAAAGCTAAACCCGCACCGATGCAATGTTCGACGACAGGTAAAGGGAATCAGAAAGTGATGGCGAGAGGAAGGACACGTGTGGGTGATGAAAGGGAGCAAGTGCCCGGGGATGGTGGAAAGCGCTTGCATCTACCGTCACGTATCCTCGGCATTCAGCCCTAGACCAATCTCTGTCGTCCCCCTTTTCCCCTCATATGGCGTCTTTCCTCCTCCCTATCAGTCCTGGAAGGACGGTCCCGAGCCCTCGACTCCACACTATTCCCAAGGCATCCTCCAGGAGGGCTCGTTCAAACAGCATTTGGCCGTGTTGCATTCGTGGCTAGGGCGGGAATGTACAGGAGTTAAACAGGCAGTTGTCCTCTTGAAGGTGAGAACTATGTAGGAAAATGGGCTGTAGGGGAAAGACAAAAAGGAAGGTTGCAGGGAAAAAGCCTCGTAATCCCTTCCAGGACGAATGCGTGTGCTTTCATGACATACCATACTTACACAGGGCCTTAATTTGTCCTCTCCCTCTTTTTCCTCGATATTCCCGTCAGGTCTGGCTCGCTCAGCGGGGCTCGCTCTCTGCGCTCGACTCCTTCGACGGCTTCTCCCTCCTCTGTCTGGCTGCTTTCCTTCTTCAAGAGAGGCGGCTCAATCCCAGGTACGTTTGTGGAATTTATGCCTCTGCTCTTCAACGTATTCCATTTTCGCGTCCTTTCTGTCCCTATTCCGCCCACCTTTCTCCGCGTCACCGGCCCTCCTTCCACAGGATGGAAGTTCTTCCCGCCCTGATGGTGATGCTCCAGTTTCTTGCCGAAACCGACTTGACCGAAACGGGGACAAAACCTTTACTGCTGAAGGGAGGTAAGGAGGAGGGAGGCTGGATTATTCATATCTCAAGAGTTGAGGCTGGATGTGAAATTGAACAAGATTAGGCACATCAGAACGCTTTGGTATCTCGGACTCGAACCGGAAATTGCGGCCCCGGAGAAGAGAAGATAGGGAAACTGCAAGGGTGGACAATCAGAAATCATAGTCAGACGTGACACCTCGAGAGGTCTTTTGTACAAGGGCAGTTTTTCACAACCTTTGCCCTTGGTCTCTTTTTCTCTCCCTGTGCGGACACAGCCTCTTCTCCTCTAGACCCCTCACTTTTCGTGGGTGCTTTTGTGGCGTGTCTGCTGATCGAAGAAACGGGAGGGAATGCCTTTACATACCTCTCCCGCTCCGCCTGTGCTGAGCTTCAGGAGGAGGCGAATCGGGCTCTCAAGTTATTGCGGACCGATGTAAGTGGTCAGATGCAAAGAGAAGAAATAGAGCTGCGAGGAGGACGGCTTAAGACCAGTCCCTGTCTGGCGCGCCATGTAGCATGGTCGCATCTTCCTTTCTTCTCACCATTTCACCCTCTCTCCCCCGCTCACCTTGACCTTTCTTCTTGGCTCTTCCTTCTCCTTTGCTTCGCGCAGGTCCGCTCTGCCTCCACCGTCCTGTTCCTCACGCCCTTCCCCTTTTTGCGCACCTTTGACTACTATCTGCGCCTTCCCCTCCGTTCGAAAAGCGAGCAGGCCACCGACGCGGTCAGCGTAGCGACAGCACAGGTATGCATTCTTCTCGAGTCGGACGGGCTGATCTCCGAAGAGGCATTCGTTCAAAAAACGAATCCACGGACAATCGGGGTCTGTTCTCCTCCTCTGTCTTTTCTTGCCCTCTCTCGTGTTCCTTGTTGATTAATTGTATCTCAATTCCTGGTTTCCTTTCTTTTCAACTCCTTCTCTACTTTTCAGGAGGAAGAACGCGTCTGCTGCGATCTTCCCGTCGCCTCCTACTTGTCCCGAAAGGCCGCGCAGATCCTCAGCCTCGCCCTGGGGAACCGTGCGCGCCGCGTGCGTGCTTTGCCCGCTGCTTGCTGTGTTGAGCAGAACTTGGGAAGAAAGGGGGAGCGGGGATGGGTATGGGTGGGCATCTCGATCGACCCTATGCAGGCGTTGCGACTTGTGGATCGGGGACCACCAGCTGAGGAGGAGACAAAGGCGAGAGAGGTGAGTGTGGCTTCGAATATATTGGAAGAATGAAGACGGGAGGGACGTGGTGGAAGAGCGAATGGTTGAGGCTTGTATTGCTTGTCCTTAGGTCAGCCGCGCTTTTTTCCTCCTCGTCGTTTCTTTTCGTCGATCCCCCCCTTCGATCTTCCTCTTGTTTGCTCACCCAACCCTTGCTTTCTCTTCTTTGTCCGATCAGTTTCGCGCATTCTGGGGCCAAAAAGCAGAGCTTCGACGCTTCAAAGACGGGGCCATTGTAGAGGCCGTAGTGTGGGGAGGAGGTAAGCTGGATGGACAGGGACCAGGAAGCTATAGAAGTGATTCAATTCAGAGGAAAAGGAGGCATCTAGAGGTCTTGGATGATTCTTCTGCTCACAGAGGGCGCTGTCACTGCTTACACAGGTGGAGACAGGCACAAGATAGTGGAAGAGATTATGCGGTATACCTTGGGGTACCACCTGCGGCATCGGTGAGATAGGAGGGAAGGCGGTGGGGGAGGGTGGGGGAGGAAGAAGTCAGGGAGATGTGTGACGTTAAGGGCTTTGTGAATGGTACCGAAGATAGCGGGGGAGAGGTACAGGCTGATCGATCTCTGCACTTTTATGGGCGATAGGTTTCCTCCCTCTGTTGCCACCTCGCTGAGAATCTTGGGAAATGAATTGGTTATGTTGCTGGAGCTTTCCAAGGAGCGATCGGCAAATGGAGCGTCCGCATCTTCGTCCTTGCCCTCGCCCTCCTTGACGCCTGAGGCAATGACAAAGGCGGCTTTGACGGCATTGGATTCCCTGACGACGAAGGTAAGAAGCGGAAACAGAAGGGGGAATGAGAAGGGTGAGGCTGGCTGCTTGTTAGCTGAGATATCATATTTCGTTATTTCTATCATTATTTGCTCCCTCAAACCCCCCCTTCCACCTACTCCCAGCTCAAAGAAGGCGTATCGTCCTGCCTTCCTCTTGCCATCGAGGCGGTCGCCCCCCTCTCTCCCGCCCTCCGGCACACCTCCCTCTTCCCCCCTTTTCCCCATCCCCTCGTCCATGGAGCCAGTCGACTCTTGAAGCGTCTAGAGGGGCAGCAGGTGTCTCGTACAGTCGGTACGGGGAAGAGAAAGGCGGAGATCTTGCGGGGAGGGGGCAACAAACAGATCGAGTGAGGTTACATTGATTCTGGGATCGCTTTCCTTTTCTTCTGATATCCTTTCCCGTCACTCTACTTCCCGCAGCCCCTCTTCCGATCCAGGTGCAACTTCAGAAGTCGAACAAATGGCCCGACGACTTAGAAGCCCTTCGACGGGCCCAGACAGCTTTCTTGCTGCAGATTGCTCGGAGGTGAGAGGTCGAAACGCATGTGACACTGTGTTGTCGCGATGTCTATTGATTTATCTCTCGCCTATTCCCCCCTGACGATAAACTCTCGATGGAATTGTGTCGTACAATTCAATTTATTTTTCTCTCTTTTTCCCTCCCTCCCTGTCTATCTCAGCCTCGAGCGCGACCCTGAGGTGAAAGCCTCCCTGGCTGGCCCCAACGCACTGGATATGATGCTAGACGGCTATGTGTTCCGGGCTTCTCTCTCCGTTTTTCAAGAAAGCTCCCTCCTTGGTCTGGAGGGAGAGCGAGTGGAGAAGGAGGAGGTGGGGCGCTGGACAGAACGCGCTCCCACCCACCATCGACTCATCCAAGCTTGTCACGCAGCCAATCCTCTGTACGGCCGCGTTGTTCGCTTATGCTCCATATGGCTTTCCAATCATCTCCTCCCACCTATACCCTCCGACTCCGCCCTTCTCTCATCCGGAACCGCTTCCAGCTCGCCGTGTCTCCCCCTGGAAGCCCTCGAACTACTCGTTGCCGCGCTCTTCTCCCCGCCCGGCCGACCCCCAGGGTCCCTCCTCGCTGGCCTCCTCGCTTTCCTGTCCCTCCTTTCCACGCATAATTGGCACTCCACTCCCTTGCTTGTTGACCCGCACCACACCCTTCTTCCTTCCGACCACGAGGCTGCAGAGAAAGCCTTTGAAAAACATCAAGGCAAAGCGGGAGTCCGGGAGGGAGGGGGGTCTATGATGTATCTACTGGCGCCGTACGACAAAGAGAGGGGATGGCGACCTTCCTGGACATCCTCTTCTTGCCCAGAGCCCGTAATCCTAGCCCGAATGAAGGCTCTCGCTGCCATTTCGCTTCAATCACTGTTGACATGGATGGAGGAAGGTGGAAAGGAGGGAGGATGGAGAGCTGCCGTGGTTCCTTCTTCCCCCTTCCAGGCGGCCTCGTCGCCACTCCTGCAGCCGCCTCAATTCGACGTATTGATCCGTTTCAAGCCAGCATGGGTAGGTCCACTCTTCTCTGGCCCCTATCGTGAGGGATGGAGGGCGTGGGAAGAAGTCCAAAAAGGCTGCAAGGCTCTGCGTTGTGGACACCTGTACAAAAATCTGGCAGGTGCACAGGCGCAGAAACGGGTGGTGGGGATGGATCCAGTGAGCGAGTACCAGAAGAAACTGGTGAAGAGGTATGGAGGCTTGGCTTTATTTTTTATGGCGGGGGCTGAAGGAGGCCATAGGGAAGGCTTAGCGGTAAGATTTCGTCCGCGGCTGTTCCTTTCCTCGTCCTTTTCGGTGTTGCAGAGTAGAGGGAAAATCCCGATCAAAGTTAAGCCAGATGAAGAAAAGCGAGAAAACATCGACGGTGAAGGAGTACCATTCATGCTCCCAAATGTGGGAGAGGTTTTGAGCGATTTCAAGCGGCTGGGTGAGGAAATCGTGGAGGAAGTGCTCGTGCTTTGAATAAGGAAATTTTAAAAAAGGCGCATAAATAAATAAGTGTGAAAGTATAAGAAAAGGGCGCTCGTGCCACGGAGCGCACACGATGTATGTTTGAATAGAAAAAGGATGTGAACGTCACAGATGCGAATTCCTAATAAGCTGAAGCATAGCTGGAAATAAAGTAGACAGCGAAAGAATGTTCACTTTTCTGAAACTATTTCCACATGGAAGGTGTTTCCTTTCTGTTAACCGCGATATTAAAATTGAGCTCAGAAGACAAGTTTTAAGCAGCTATCTTTGGCCTCCGGCTTTCTTCAGGCGTTCCAGAGCTCCCATACTTCCCCCATTCCCTACCTCTCCATCTTTTGCGTCCTCCTCAAGCCCTGCCCTTGCAAACACTGCAGCCGGAACAGGCTTGGCCTTCACCTGTATTTCGGTGTCCCCCTCAATGTGGATCTCCTTTTCCTCCCCTCCCTCCTGTATCCTGTCTCCCTCCTCCCCCTCCTCCTCCATGTCCTCAATGTCTATCTCCTCTTCATTCCGTTCCAATGCTGCAACAGCCGCTGCTGTCACTGCCTGAAGCCTCTTGGCCTGTCTCTCCACCGCTTCCAGTTCCTCCCCCTCGCTTCCTCCCTTCCTTTTGACACCACCCGCTCCTCCGGCCATGACCCGTGCAGCTTGAGCCCTTTTCGCCTTCTCCTCCGCCTTGGCCGCTTCTCGAGCCAGGGTCTCAGCGTCAGCGGTCGCCTCGTCTTTTTCCTCCCCCCCACCCTCCTTCGCTTGCACCATGGCCATAGCGTCATCTGCCATGTAATTAACCTGCAAAAGATTCAAAAAGATAGGAAGAACAAAATGATAGTGGGCAAGGGAAGAGAAGCACTGGGATCATCTTGCCAGTGAAGGTATTTTGCTCTCTGATCCTTCCGGTCGAGTTTCCTTCAGTTCCCCAACATCCACCCACTCCTTGCACTGCTACCTGTGAAAAGGCGGTCTGTACAGTCCTCTTTACGCGCAACATGTCCCGGAATGTCTCCTCATTCCCATGATTGACCTGAAACGGGAGTGGCCAGTAATTTAAAGGGGAGATATGGACGATGAGGAGGAGCGAGGAATGTGCGTGGACAAGCAGCAAACAATTACATTGCAACATATGATGCGCGCCCTCGGGTACTCGTTTAGATTTAGATGAGGGAAAGTGGAGTAGAAGCAGGAGAATAACGCACCTCAAAATCTTGCCATTTCTTCCAATAACCAGGATCACGGCGTGGATCCGCAAAGTTGGCGCCATGTGTATAAACAGCACGCGCTCGGTCGATCTGCAATCGGGAGAAAGAAATGGAATGAGACCACCACAAAAAGAGAGAAGGGCGAACGACAGAAGACGAGGCAACAAACTGCTTGTAACTGGGTGCCCGAAAAGGGAGATAACGTACTTCGCCAAGCTTCCGCTCCAATTCGGCAAACTGGATGCACATGTTTTTAGCCCCCTCGTCGGGTAAGACCTCGATGGCTTTCTGGTATACTTCCCGAGTGCGGGTGACACCGTAGAGAGCCTCCACCTTGAACGAGAAGAGAAAGTGGGGGAGAAGAAGGGAGGACAGCACCAACATAAGAAGGGCGAGGAAGGAGGCATGTCGATGAGCCAGCGACATACACGTGTGACCAACGCATTTGCGTACCCAGTACTGCGCGTGCATGCGTCCAAGCTCAGAGAGGGGGGGTTTCTCGACAATTACCTTCTTGATGTAGAGCAGAAAGAAATCGTAACGCTTGTCCTCGGGCACTGCCTGGGTCCCCCGATCGTATATAGCCATCGCGTGTCGGGCGAGGCCGTGTTCTTCCTCCAGCTTTGCGTACTGAGACCAGAAGGAAAGGAGAGCGTGGGGTGAGCGATGCAGGACTAAAAGAGGGCGGTAAAGGTCACCGCATGAATTTGTGTCATCTCCTGAAAATCGTCTACACTAGGTAAGGAGATGGGAAAAAAAAAAACAGAAAATCGGGAATGCTGGTGGTGGGGAAGTAGCGGTGCTTACCCGGATGTAGAAGTCGGCAGCCTCATCCGCTGGGACCTTCTCCAGGCACTGTTCGAACAAATCGCGGGCCCGCTCCAGCTTGCTCCCACCATACCTGAACCCGAGAATGGGTAATGCAATGGATGAGGAACAAAGGGTGGCAGGACGAAAAGACTGATCGGTGAGCGTTTTGAAGGCTCCCACCCCAGTCCAATAATAGAACTTACCGGGCGACGAATTTCTGAAGGTACAGAGACCACAGGGGCTTGACGTGAGGCCAACCGAAGACAGATACCCCCTAAAAATGGAACGGGATGAAAAAAGGGAGGTAAAGTGAGGCGGGTGGCAAAAAAGAACATGAAAGGTGGGCTGAAACATACCTTCTCGTAGGCGCGGAAAGCCTCCTCGTGGTACGCATTTTCTTCCAGGAAAGAGGCAAAGTTCAGGATTATTTGGGGTGTGGCGACCTGGGAGTGGATGGGTGAAAGCATGAGCGCAGAAATGGACGGTTCATGGAAATATGCGTCTACGATGCGCATGACATCCAGTTTGAAAATCAAGAGGGAGCGAGTCGGAAATGCCGGGAAAAATGCACATCTCCCAATAAAGACACGACAAATGGATGGATGAGACAAGAAGAAATGGTGATACCTTGAGCTCCAAACACCGTTCGTAGGCAGCCTTTGTGGTGGCAACAGTCCCAAGGGATTCTTCTAGGTCCAAGAACAAGGACCAGACGCGAGTGGATTTGTGCACGCGTTCCTAAATTGAGGGTGGCAAAGTCAGAAAGAGACAATGCCGGTGAATATACAGAAACAACCTCCATCCTGAATGCAGTTCCTGGTCTTCTACCTGCACAGGGATGCTTGCAATCATCTCTGCCCGCTCCTCGCCCCCCTTCTTCCCGCCTCCCAACGCGCGGCCCTGAGCCTCGGTCTGCCGCCGGCGTTGGATGGCCTGAGACGGCTCAGTGACGGCGTGTTGCATCACCTATGGAAGAGAAAGAGAGAGAAATGAAATGGAATGAGGGAGGCAGTGAAAAGGTGAAAAGTGGAAGGGGCGGCAGGCATACCTGTAAGGCCTCCTCGTAGTTCTCGTGCCGGATTTCCATCTCTGCCCAGGTGCAATAGACACCAGCAAGCTCTTCCACGCCCTGCAGATAGAGACGGGTGAAGACACGAGATTAAGGAAAGAAAGGAAGGATGAAATCGGGGATTCGGGGGGTGGAGTGAGGCAGTACCTTAAAATTGACCAAAGTAGCCTTGTTGAGCACCACGCGAGCGTTGTCAATGTCGTCATGCTCCTCATAGTACCTGCGGGGGGGAAAGACGATTGACATAAGCAGAGCTTGAAAAGGACGCAGGAGGGAGAGAGCAGAAGGGAAACAAGCTTACTTGGCGAAAGCGGTCCAGAGGGAATAGAGCTTTCCGAAAGCCTTCTTGGGGTCGACGGTCTTGACGGCCTCGGTGAAACAGACGATGACCTGCGAAAAGGGGAAGGCAAAAAGCTGAGGACACTGGAGCGGAAAGATGCGGGGCCGGGGGCGACACGGCCTCGGAGTACCTTGTGAGGATCGTTCTGGGCTTGGAAAAGTTTGGCCCGCTTGTGCCACTCGTGGACGTTGTGAGGGTTCTGACGCAGGAGGACGGAGGACAGCTGTTGGGGTCAGGGGTAGAGGAAGAGGGGAGAACGTGTAAGAAATGAGGGGGGCGCGAAGGACGTCGCCCGGCCAATGCTTCCAGTCTTCCCCATTCACATGTCCACCATGTTCTCCTTGTCGGTCCGATCAGCGCCTAAGCCACTGCCTCGTTCACCTTCAAACCACAGATGATTTTAAATAACCCTGTCTCCTCGTTCCTCTCCTCCTCTCTCTCCCCCTCGCGCCTTACCAAAATGGGCCGACGCTCCATCAAATCCTCCAACCGGGCCAGTCGCAGATCCGTGTCGTCGCCCTCCACGTCCAGGTCATCGTCCGTTTCGTCCTCTGGTTCCTGAGGCATCGGGAAACAAACCGAAAGGCTCCTGTCAGACCCGCTTCCTCTCAACCCTTTCTTTCCTCCAAGCCCTCCCTCCCTCCTTCCTTCCTGCCCACTCTAATTCCATACCTCTTCCTCTGCCAACATTGCCACGCGGGCCGTCAACAGAGACTCCTCGCACTGGGAGTAAGCGTCAAAAACCATCGTGAAGTCGCGCACTGTCAGGACGCTGAATGAGGAAAGCAGGGGGCACATGAAGGTGGAGGGATCGAAGTCAGATTGATACTTTGGTGTTAGGGGGGGGAATCGGCTGGTAGGACAGGGCAGTGATTGCGACGTCGGGGGAAAGCCGACGAGGTGCTCGGACCATGCGGTAAGAGGAGATACCAAGCACACTCACGTGGAAAGCGCCTCCTCGTAGACGTCACGGGCCCGTTCAAACTGACCCTGGCGGATGTAGTAGTCTGCCAGCTTGCACCTGAGACATCAGTCAAATATCGTAGGGAAAAGAAATGAAATGACGCTTAAGAAACGTGGGAAGAAGGAAGAGCCCGAGAGGAGGGAGTCAAACCCTACCACAGCTTCCCGGTTTCGTCCGTGAAGCGCGCGAGGCCGCTTCGGATAATGGCGTCCACCTTGAGACGACGCGAGATAGCCGTCGGATGGCGCGCACACATGTCGCAGAGGCGCATCCAGAGGGCGTGTTTGGAGGAGCCTGCAGTGAGTGAGTAAAAGGCATTTCAATGGCAGAAGTGGGGGGCAATTCAACTTTGACACCTACAGACCCATCTACATGGAACCGGGAAAACGTCAATGGGATCAAAAAAGGGTGGGGGCTTTCGAGACGGAAATCAACAAAAACGTCGCACAGCAGGCTAACCGTCCAAACGGACCTTTCGGAGAGAAGAAGGCGTCGTCGTTCACACAGATGGCCAAATGCACAGCGGCCTCCTCCATTTCCCCCAATTTCTCCATAAAATCGACGTAGGACTCGCGCTGAGAAGGGTCGTACTTCAAGTATCGCCTGAAGGAGAGAGTTTGGAAGGGAAAAGGGGTGAGGAAAGCTGTGCTTCCGTCCCTCGATGGAGGCCAAGCGGCTCGAGCGACGACTGTCACGGATTTCAAGGGCAGGGGAAGGTGGAGGGAGGGGTCGAGTCGGGGGGAGGCAGGGAGGGACGCACCGGAAGACACGAATTGCAGTCTCCTTAACGCCTAAATTTTGGGCCCACGGAAGGTACAGAGACCAGATTCGCTCGTGCTGGGTGATGGGAAGGGACTGAAGTGCGGCGTCGAAGGCGCGACGAGTCTTGGTCGCCTGCGGAGCCGGGAGAGGGGTCAGGGGGGGGAGTAGGTGAGACGCAAGGCGGGTGGAGGAGAGGGAAAGGAAGACCCAGCCATACCTTTTTCATGTCGACGAGAGTATGCAGATAGTCGAGCCAGACGCGGGGCATGCGCGAGAGATGCACAAGGGCCCTGGCACCGAGAGAGTGGGGAAGAAGGTGAGAGCAGGTTGTTGCCTTTCATCGATTTCTCTTGCCACTCTGTCCCTCCATGCGTTGCTCCTCCGTCTCCACTTACCGCTCGAAGGTATTCAGCAGAATCTGATAGCGAGGATGGCTGACAGGAACTCTCCCATCCACCTGCTCTTTCCGCTCCTGGATGGGGGGGAAAATGCCAGAAGTCGTGAGCCATAGGGCACCACGGTGCACGCCATCCCTCTCCGCATTTTCCTCCCGCCAAGCATAAGCCCTGTCCATCGATCACATTATCCTCCCCCTCGTCTCCGTAGTGCAGCACTCCCCTTCCAGTGACTTTCTTCTCCTCTTCTTCCCTCCCTTGCCCCACGACACCAACCTGCAAATACGCCCACCACAGCTTGTAAGAGCCTGGAAGGAACTTTAAAGCTCTCTCATAGATCAGATAGCGCTTCACCGGCTTGGCTTGAGTTTTTGCATTCAGATATCGGAGCCAACTTTTGAGGGAGAAAGGGTTTCGGGCGATTTCCTGGGAAAAAGTTGCGAGACAGGGTCCAAGAGAAAGAATCAATACGATCGAGTGGTAAGAAAGGCATGGCCACGAGGCAATGAGAGCTGTCGTCTGAGCACGTCGCCCTGACAAACCCATTTCTCCATTCTGCTCCATCCCTATCACCCACTTACTTCCTCGAACTCTGCGTCCTGCTCATCTTCCAGCAAAGCGCGAATCTCGTCGCTGACAACTCCTCTATCATTTGCCATGATAGCTGTCTTGCAAAAAAAGAGAGGAAAGGAAGGAGGAAACAAGCAAGTGAGGACAACTAGCCTGGTCATCTGCTCAGAAGGTAATGATGGGGGGGGGCGAGAGGTTGACGCTTGCCATTTGCAGAGAATGAGCCATACATGATCCTACAGCATTCCCAGGACAATGTACTGCCCGCGTGAGTCATGGTCGTGAACAAGTTGTTGAAGCACAAGAAAGCTCTTTTGTTGAGCAGAGGGTGTCGGGGAGAGGGAGGAGCAAGAAACTTCGGAGGCGGTAAGAGGATGTGATAGAGGGGAGTGTGAGGCCCCGGTCTTCACGCTGCGAATCAAATAATAAACCACGCGCATTGAAAATTGGCTCCCATGAAAACACGTGAGATACGCTGTCACGAGTTGAGCAATCAACACAAATTAAACCCCAGCTTTTCAACATCGAGATCAGGGACGACAATTGACCTCGCGTCTGTTTCAAGTCACTTTACAGTCCCCGGCACGCCCGTCCTCCTGGCAGGACGCTGTGGCTTTGCATGTTCCAGATGCACGATACTTTTATATGATGTCGCATGTCGCATCATGGGAAGAAAGTATGTTGGCATTTCGCGTCCACTCGCATGACTGGAAAGCTGCATCGATCGCTCGTCTGCAGTTTTGTCGCCTAAATTGCTTGTTCCTTTCTCACCATTTTTACATCAACAGTGCAAAGACTTTACTGGAGCAAAATGTATGCCACCAACACGGAGAAGCGCAGGGTGAAGGTAGGGAGGGAGAGAAGCGTACATCAGCATTGTTGATAGCTCTTTAATGTTTTGGGGGGATCCCTCACGTTCGGGCCATGTGAAAGTCATATAAGCTCAAACACGATGTCCATCCCATATTTTCATGTGCTCCCACTCCGATGTGTATTTATTCTTTGTAAACATCTGTCATCGTTCCATGCTCCCCTTCTGTCTGATCATGTTTGCCAATTAAAACGCGTCGGAAACTTCAGGCTATCAACAAGCACTATCGCAAGCTCTCTGTCCGTAAAGACTTCGGAATGCATGGTAGCTTTTCAGGTGCGTTTGAGCAAATGATGCATACGAAGGGATATAGTAGTGCTTATCTCGCAAACGTCGCCGCAAAGAGGAACTTTGATCTCTGAGCGCAATTAGCCTGTGAGTACAGGGAAGGTTATCATATGCCACCCTCATCTCCGCACTTGACATTCCATTAGGCCATATTACGGATTGCTGGGTGGCGCATTCCGGGCAGGAATATGCGCATGTGCTGTACGTGGACGGGGATGAGGAGGACATTCCCTTACAGGAGGTAGGACCGTGTCGAACTTCTGTATGCCTCCAGCGGGGGAGGGATGAGGGGCGCGTCGAGACATTGACGTAAAAACTAGAGGGAGCGAAAGTGAAGATGTGAGATGTTGATAGGATAGCTGGGCAGAAAAGTAATGGGAGATCTAGACAGTTTCATAATGGCTATCTTAATAGCGTAAAGGAAGGGAGAAGGTTGTTACTGTGAGTTTAATTGTTATTTTTTGGTCTCTGAACCCGCAGGTGAGAATTTTTTTAATGGCACCGTTGCCCCCCACGCCACCGACCTCCCCACGGTCTTCATCGGCCCCGAGCAGCGAAAGCAGTGGAAGGGAGGAGAAGGAATGCGAAGCACTTAAGGAACTAGCCATCGGAGCACGCTCCTCTATCACCTTGTGTCGTGTGGGGTATGGTAGAACAGAAGGGATAGAAGCGGAAACAATCACCACGACAGCTTCCTCCGCCCCTGCATCTTGTGCGATCCCTCCTTCTGGGGAAATGTTCTGTCAAGAGAATGCCAGCCCGGATGTTGACGAGGCAAAGGAAGCATCGACTGAGCTTTTGGAGGAAGACGGAGCGTGTGAAGCAGAGGGGGGAATCGAGAAGAGGAAGGATCACGAAATGAAAGAGGCAGGCAAGGAAAAGGAACAGGCGCTATGCGACAGGGAACGGGAGAAGGCATGCCAGTCGCCTGTCCGGCGGCATCAGAGCGAAGGTGATAAGGAGAACAGGGGGACGTTACAGGGTGATGGAGGAGGGGGCAACTCCCAGCATTCCCAGATCCTTCCGGCGCAGCCCCAAAAATCAGCAGAAATGACAGTGGCAACAGGATCAACGTCGATGGTGGCACTTCTTGAAGGGGCTGTAATAGCAGAAGTGACCACTTTAGGAGGAAACGCTGCAGCATCAGCGACAGAAACAGCCACAGATGAGCCTTCATCCCATCCCTTTACGGCATCCTCTGTTTCTTCCCTTGCGCCCTCTCTACCTGCCTGCGCCTCTAAAGATCATGGAGGCGACTGCTCGACGGGCAAACACGGTCATCACACTGACAGCACAAGGACTTCGACAGCCAATGCGCTCCATCCACGTCCATTCAATTTCTCTGATCCCCTCCCTCGCAGTCCTCCGTCCGCGCTGCCGTCATCCACAGCTTCTGTACCACTCCCAGCAAATGAAATGGTAGGGACAGGGAATTCCATCGGTGCCGCTCGACCGGGAAAGGAGCTTACAGATTACAAGCCTCTTGTCGGCCGCTTCGTGCAGAAAGCCGTGGAGGGGGGAGGGAAGGTCACGGGTAAGCATCGCAAGACCGGTGAATAGAGAAAAGAGTTCTGAAAGGGCAATGCCAAAGCGATAAACTCACCGTCCTCATGAATGTAGAATGGGGATGTCGTAGCTATGGAACACCTGGAGTCATAAGCTTACAAGATCGGACCGGTCTTTGTGCTCTGCCTACTCATAAATAATTCTGTTCTCATGTTCCTCCCCTTTCCTCTTCCATTTCTCCCGCTGGCCCTTTGTTGCAGGTATGGTGGTGGAGGTGAGGGCAAAGGGATCCAAGGAATCGCGGCGAGTGTGGGCACGTGTCACGTACACTGACAAGACGGAACAGGACCTTGATGTGTAAGTGGGGTGGGTGGTGAAAGTGACAGGGACTAGGACATGGTCGACGCCTCGGGATCCATTCGACTGACATTCAGAGCGCCCCATATACCCGCCTTCTCGACAGTGACGATTTGATACCGCTTTTGAAGCCCAGAAGGGGGAAAAAACAAGAGTAAAGCCGCAGTTCGTGAGGAAAAGAAACATCAAAATAAAGGCTTCGATAACAGGTCAATTTCACGCTTTTTGTTGCTGCGCATTGTTGTTAATTCTTTCCTCAAGAATTCTTTCATCTTTGCCACGCACCACTTCCACCTTTTCCTCCTTCATATCCGTCTTTTTGACAGCCGTGCCTCCCACTCTGCGTGAACGTGGCACTCGCCTTCTATGCTCATCCCCGGATTCCTTCTCGACTTGTCCCATTGCTGTTCTCTCCCGCTTTATACAGTAAAAGCGCTTCGCTGCGCTTCTCGTGCCCCGCCACTCGCTTCCACGTCTCGAATCTTACACGGCAGCTGTGTCTCCATTAATCCCGCTTCCACCGGTAGCCTTCATAGGCTGCAGGTCGTAGTACCTGGTAGGAAAAGAAAAGTGAAGACAGGGGTCGACAATGGCGATGATCAAAAATGCCGGAGAACCGTTTTTCCAAGAAAGAAAGGAGAAATTCGAACAGGAAAATAAAACCAAAACAATACCTGCTATTCGCTCTTGAACCCGAGAAAGAATCAACACTCCCACCGCCAGCCGTGGTGGATGGATTACTATCCCCCGGTGCGTCTTCAAGAGGCATGTACTCGGCTAAGATGGAACGGACTGGCGCCCATGACGAAGAGGGGAGAGGGAGGAAGGCAAAGAGGGCGGCAAGGATCAGGGTGATGTCAGCCGAGTTTTATGTTTTCGTGAGTGTGTTAGAGGAACGGCTGAAGATAGACACCACGAGAGAGGTAGCACCACGGACAATCTGGAGCAAAGGCCCCGAGGGTTTGACACACAGAGACTGCCTGCATCCGTACCTTGCTCGCGCATCTGTTCCTGTGTCCGCTTCCAATACACGAAGCCCGCCGCCGTCATGCCCAAGATCACCAATGTGACAATGCCGAGCACACCGCCCCAGGACACGCCCCCGCCGCTTCCGCCCATCTAGGGGCAAAGGCGGGAGGAGATGGTTCGAAAAGGAAGGGGAGGGGCGGGTGAAAACAAAGGGGGATTAGGGGTGATCAATCAGGGGGAAGCCAGGAGGGCATGGGGATCAGAGGAGCACGGGGCAAGCAGGAGCTTCGCCGGTAAGGTCCATGTAGGGAAGAAGGATTGCGGTACCTTTTGTGAGACGGGCCGGTAGTCACCGCCTTGGACGCAGGTCATGACCTGGTCGGGGGCCACGCCCACGCAGTTGCACACCTGGGTAGGGAAGTGGGCCCGAGGAGCATGTCAGGCAGGGTGCGGTAAGAGGGGAGGGAAAACCGGAGGAGGGCTTCAGGCAGGGTGCGGTAAGAGGGGAGGGAAAACCGGAGGAGGGTTTCAGGCAGGGTGCGATAAGGGGGGAGGGAAAACCGGAGGAGGGCTTCAGGCAGGGTGCGATAAGGGGGGAGGGAAAACCGGAGGAGGGCTTCCTTACCTTAGGTTGGGTCCCCTCCAGATACCCGGCGCATATTGAGGAGAGGACGGTTACGGAGGAGATGCCACCTGTGCCGCAAGAAGTTACGATGAGACGGTCCGAATGTATGGGAGCATTAAGGGAAAATAGGAAGGGCAAGGTTTTGAATAGGGGGGGCTAGGCGTACCTCGCTGCACGACGTTGTTGACGTAGACGGAGGGGACGATGACGATGCTTTTCTTGAGTTTCTCCAAGAGCTCTGCCTGCAGGATCAGGTTCTCCCTGTCTTGGTCCACCTGCGAGACAAGAAGGGAGAGGGGAAAAGCTGGATCGGTACCGATTGGAGGAAACCCGCCCGCCACCCTCTACAGTGCAATCGGTCAGTCCTCTTCTCCTTTCCATTGCAATCGGTCCGTCCTCTTCTCCTTTTCCGCTTCCTCCCCTTACCCCCCCCGCGTCCTCCATGCAGGCCTCGATCTTCTTGTGGTCCACGCCCGCCGCGCCCATCGCCTCCTTGATGCAGTTCGGATCCGTGAAGCGCGAACGCCGGCTGTGCACGAGGTGTGGAAAAAGGCAATGCCCGATAGCAGGTAAAATGAGCCCTGCAGGACCCCAAGGGAGTCGGAGCTCCCACCTTGTCTCAGAGAACGCCGCTCCCATACCCCCCTTCAGCCCGAGATCG